GAAAAATCCTAGGGGGTGTGTCTGTGTGTGTGTAAACACATTGATATCAACCTGGTTGCAATAGCTGAGTGGCCTGTTCACAATACTATTATCCCTTCGGGAATAACCTTCATGGAAAATGTTTGACCAATTGTATTTTATTTTTGGAAGTTTCGATTTCAGTGAGCAGGAGGGCAGGGGGGAGACTCTCTGATGCAGTTCCGAGTTTAGGTCCAAGTTCAGTTCTCCTCCTTCTTAACAATCACAAGGGCTATGGACACATATACTTTAAAAATAAATAATTAAGGTCGAGATTTTCAGGAATTAAAGTAGACTAGGAGTGTTCCCGTACTTGCATTATTGTCCCAAGACACTTCCCTCAACCTCTGCAGCTATTGCACAAGAAATGGGAATTCCATGAATGGTCTGGAGGCAGAGCAAAACTGCAAATAGTTAGTCAATCTATTCCAGCCCCCTGCAATGGCGTACCGTGGGGGGGGGGCTATTGGGGCGATTGCCCCGGGTGCAAAAATCTTTCAGGCGCATCTCTGCAGTTGCCGCCCCAACCGGAGGCGCGCCCCATCCCTCCCACCCACCAACCTCACCTGAGCAGCACAAGCTGGGAGAGGACGGGCAACACAGCGAGACTCATGGCCATGGCAGTGGCGGTGCCCCGGCCCAAGGAGGCACACACACATGTCCCGCTGCTACACTGCAACTCTCTCTGGCAGCAGCAGCAGCGCTGCATGGAGGTGCTGGTTTGTGGGCACAATACTTGCCTTAGGGGGTGCAATATTTGCCTTGCCCTGGGTGCTGGCATCCCACGCTACGTCACTGATCCCTGCAGTGCAGGAAGTGCGGCTAAAAGATGGCCAGCCAAACATGGTCAAATGTCTTTCTTGGGAAACTGGAGGGAATCCCTAAGTGCACGTTACAAGAATGAGAGGCAGAGGGAAATTTCTTTGCCACTGAACCCCCCATGCCTCAGGGGCTGGGGAGCAGGGATGAGTTAAGTTCTTTCAGTAGACAGGCTGTCATTCCCAGGCAGGCTTGCCCCCTCGCCCCCCCCCCCCATAAATTAACCAGCAGGGTTTCTGACAAACCTGTGAGAGCCTTGGAATTCTGATTTAGTCCTAAGTGAAGGGAAAACACAACACTCTGCACCCCCATTCAGCAAGCAAGCAGGCAAGCAATATGAAAAAGAAATGTTCACAATGCATGTCACCATTTTTGTAGCTTGATCTTTTTCACTGACCTGTTGAACTGATCCAGGCCAGCCAGCCATTGCCTGACTGAGGTTCAGGGGCCTTAAATCAGGTATAGGCAAACTCGGCCCTCCAGATGTTTTGGGACTACAACTCCCATCATCCCTAGCTAACAGGACCAGTGGTCAGGGATGATGGGCATTGTAGTCCCAAACATCTGGAGGGCCATGTTTTCCTGTGCCTGCCTTAAATATATAAATGGATTGGGGAGAAAACGGTTTCCCAGAAACCCAGACCTGCTCCCCCCGTTTCTTGGCTGAGCATGGAAGCACAGGAATAGCCCCCTCCCCCAGTACAGAACATTAAAGAAACTCACACAAGGCTGTGGCCAACCTCCCACCCACTGCCTGTGGCTCACAGCATGACCGCATTTACGATTATCTGCTGAGAACGTCTACCTCAATCGAACCACACCATCTCTCCGTGACAGCTGGGGATTCCCCACACATCTGATTTTCGTAGACACCTGTGATAAAAGCCCTCAGAGAATCACAGCCATAGTGAACAGCAAGATCCAGCAGGTTTTGCTGCCCCCCCAAATCACAGGCCCTCCAAGTGTCCCTATTTTCCAGGGATGTCCCTAATTTAGAGAAGTCATCCTGGTTTCCAATTTGATCCTGAAATGTCTTGCTTTTCCATAGGATGTCCCTATTTTCATTGGATAAATGTTGGAGGGTACATATGTTGGAAGCTGCTCAAAGAGGCTGGGGCAACTCAGTAAGATGTGTGGGGTATAAATAGTAAAATGTTCACTATGGAATGGGAGGTCCCTATTTTCATCAGAGAAATGACCTGATGGAGAGAAACGGATGCCATTTCCTGATTCGGCAGTGCAAAAATACCCTAAATCAGTTGTAGAAATCTAGACAACATTTAAAAAGTAAAAAATTGTTGCCCAGTGTTATCAGTTCCCTGTGAGCGTCATTTGGGTGGTTCGTGGCATTTTTGTGGATTGATGGTTGAAGGTGCGAGATGTAAGGGACCCCTGGGTGGTTAAGTCCAGTCAAAGGCGACTATGGGGTGTGGCGCTTATCTTGCTTCAGGCTGAGGGAGCTGGTGTTTGCCTACAGATAGTTTTCCAGGTCTTGTGGCCAGAGCCGTAGCTAGGTGATCTTGTGCCCCTGGCAGAACTGTCCAGATTGCGCCCCCCAGCAAATGAGAAATAAGCCTCTCCTCCCAACCCCCCCATTCAATTCACCCTCTATTTAAAACCTTTTCTTATGAGGAAATAATCAATATTTTTATTTATAGACATATTTATGGACATTTTTTAAACAGTATTGCACACACCTCCTTGCCTGCGCCCCTGGCGGGGCCCCACTTCACCACCCCCTAGCTATGGCCCTGCATGTGGCCAGCATGACTAAACCGCTTCTGGCACAACAGGACACCGTGATGAGTGCCAGAGCGCACGGAAATGCCATTTACCTTCCCGCCGCCATGGTACCTATTTATCTACTTGCACTTTGACATGCTTCTGAACTGATAGGTTGGCAGGAGCTGGGACCGAGCAACAGGAGCTCACCCCGTCACAGGGATTTGAACCGCCAACCTTACGATCGGCAAGCCCAAGCAGCTCAGTAGTTTAGACCACAGCGCCACCCGCATCCCTATGTGAGAGGGCAAATCCATTGCATAAATAAAACATTCATTGAGTTTTAACTGTGTTTTTATTGCTGCTTTTATTTATTGCATTTTAGTGTACAGTAGTACCTCGGGTTACAGATGCTTCAGGTTACAGATGCTTCAGGTTACAGACTCCACTAACCCAGAAATATTATCTTGGGTTAAGAACTTTGCTTCAGGATGAGAACAGAAATTGTGCAGCGGCGTGTGGTGGCAGCGGGAGGCCCCATTAGCTAAAGTGGTGCTTCAGGTTAAGAACAGTTTCAGGTTCAGAACAGACCTCAAGAACGAATTAAGTTCTTAATCCCAGTTACCGCTGTATTACAGTTTGAATTTAAATAGCAAAACATTAAATGCAATGGGTGAAATTTGACCTCCCACTATGATAAATCTTCCGCCTGCAAAAGTGTTTCAGCTGACCAGGACGAATAATCCTCCCTCTCCTCTCTTGTGCGCTGTGCTGTTTCTTTGCCTCTCATGTCAGGAAAGAGTGCCAAAATCATGAAGCATCTAGTGCAGTGCTTTACAATTGCCACAATAAGCAGAACAAGCATTAAGTGGTCTGCCAAGGCCCTCGGTTATTTTCAAATGGTCTGTATGGAAAAAACCAGTGGGTTTAGATTAATGGTTGATTTGTAAGGACAGACAGGGTTACCACCCAAGGCCTGTGCGGCAGAAGCGTCATTGCCCAAGATGAGCTAAAATTCATTGATGAAACATCGGAGTGGTTTTAGCTGGTAACTCTAGGTGGGAAGTAGTGTTCTGTCACTTTCTTATCTGGATCTATTCTGTGGTAAATTATTTGGCCTTTTCAACCTTCCCCCCACCCACCAATTCGTTGGGTAGTTAGAGAAAAGTCTGATGTCAATCCCTGTCACAGCTCACCACAGTTTTTGGCTTCTCCTGTCTGAGCTTCCATGTGGACTCTAGAACCTGGAATATGTACTTAATTCATTCCGGAGCTCCGTTCTTAACCTGAAACTGTTCTTAACCTGAAGCACCACTTTAGCTAATGGGGCCTCCTGCTGCCGCCGCGCCGCCGGACCATGATTTCTGTTCTCATCCTGAAGCAAAGTTCTTAACCTGAAGCACTATTTCTGGGTTAGCGGAGTCTGTAACCTGAAGCGTATGTAACCTGAAGCGTACGTAACCCGAGGTACCACTGTACTTGAGACTTCTATCATATGCAGTGGTATCTCGGCTTATGTACTTAATCCGTTCTGGAAGTCCGTTCTTAAACCGAAACCGTTCTTAAACTGAGGTGCGCTTTCCCTAATGAGGCCTCCCGCTGCCAGTGCCCTTCCACCATTCAGCTTCCATTCTTGGACTGAGGTAGAGTTTGCAAACCGGGACACTACTTCCAGTTTTGTGGAGTTTATAAACCAAATAGTTCATAAACAGGGCTGTTCTTTAACTGATGGTGATTCTGGTAATGCTGAACCAAATCAGCATACCGTTGCAATCTGGTGACTTGCCAAGCTGCAATTTTGCAGCTTTCCCCTTCCAGTGTGTGACAAGGCGAGTGAGAAAGGTCCAATTTTGTTGTAGCTGAGACAAGTCACCCAGGTCCCTTGCCGTCTAGTCAGGATTGACAAAGTTCTCTTCTTCCCTTTACAAAAGTGGACTCGTAAAGATTATGGGATGGCTCGAAGAAGAGCGGTAATAGCTTCTCGTTTGGGGAGTGGGAACTGTTTTGGTTGAAACTTGAGAACGCATTATGCTCTCTCCATCTGAAACACATTTCTAGAAGTAAATGTTAACACTCCATTAGTGCCTAAAATCCAAATATTAAACACTGAAAACTAAAAGTCTGAAAACGAGGAGAATCTGCTAACAACATTTACATAAATACATTTCTTCTCCTGCTAACAAACTAGTCTTTGCCAAAAGAACTGGCATCCCTCGCCACGCCATTTGTGACTAAATTTCTGAAAACCAGGCAACTAGGATCGCAAATAATCTGGTTTGCCTCATCTCCAAAATTCAATTGGGTTTGTTAAGCGGCTTAGTTTAGGGGGCCCACCACCCACCGGCTTCTGCGATGCCCACATTTCATGACTTGTGGGAGTAGCTGGTTGGTTGGTGTGATTTGATGTGGTCTTCCTCACTTTCTTTCTCTTCTCCCCACAGATGAGAAGCGAAGAAAAAATGATGGAGAAGCTGGAGGCCTCTCAGCCGCCGGTTGCCCCAGAACAGCAAAACCCGCAGCCACCAGTCTCCCCAATTGATATCCCCTCCCCAGCTACTGGGGGGGATGAGGTTGAGGCCACCCCATCGCCCACAAGCCCCACCTCTTCCTCCCCTCCAGCCAAGGGGAGCCCTTCCCCTCCTGACCCGCCCCCGGCCCCGTTACCTCACAACGTCCCGGTCATCAGCCTGAGCTACAGCAGCAAGCCCCCCGCCCACGTCGACGTCCCCACCACTCAGCTCACTGCCCTGCACCCCATTCCCAGCCTCTTACAGCTCTCAGCTCTTTCGGCTGGCCCTCCTCCGCCCCCTATGGCGAATCTAGCCGGAGTGAGGAGCCCCCTTTTGGCCCCACAGTACCAGCCTCAGTACCAGCCCTTTCTCAACAGGTAAGTCCTGAGTGGAAATAATCAGGTTTGCGGGGTGGGAAGAAAACCCGGCAATGGAAATAAGCCAGCAATCGGAATGGGGCATAGCTGTCAACTTTCAGATTTGAAAATAAGGGATCAGCAGCCTCGAAAATAAGGGATCAGCAGCCTTACCTGTCCTGGGGACAGTCTACGGGATATCTAACAATCCGGGATAGCAGCGGGGAGCAGCGGGAAACGGCACTGGAATAAAGGAATTTCCCACACAAAAAAGGAAGGTTGACAGCTATGTGGGGTTGAAGTTTGATTCTGTTCACATTTAAAGGCGAAGCTACTTGATTTGCGCTTTCTGGAAGAGCACTGAAACGTAGCCGTCCTTCAGAATTCGTTACTGCTCTAGATTTTGCAATGCAAAATTCTCCAGCACATATCAGGGCAAAGTGTGCATGCGAATGGGCAGATTTTGTGAGAGTAACGTATGAAAATGCATTATATTGGGCGAAATTGCCTAGGAAGATGTACGTGTTACAAAAAATTCACAGCAAAGTGCTGACGAATTTTCATGAGAAATTATTGTTACCGTCTTGGCCCGAATATAAGCCGTACCTTTGAAATTCGGGGGGGGGGGGAGAGACAATACCCGAATATAAGCTGCTCCCTTAAAATTCCGCAGGCACTCACACCCATAAATGGCAAATGCAGAAGAAAATCCTATGGGTACTAGAGAGGTTTAAACACCTGTTTGTAGCACCATACATGCAAATAAAAAAATCAACACTGCACCGTAAAATACGGGGAAAGTGATGAATGACATTAGAATTAATTGCACAACAGTCTCAAGCTCACAAATTGGCAATAAAACATTTTTTGTTCCATTTTACTGTATGTCTGTTTCAGCAGCGATATCGTAAAAGCCAATTTTTGTAAAGTCACGAATTTAACTTTTCATGGTTGGAATTTGGAAAAAAGTGCCAACATGGTATTATTATTATTATTATTATTATTATTATTATTATTAGTGTTTGTAAAATTGCAAGCTGACGTGGAAATGTAGAGAACTGAAGACTGCAAAAATTATAAATGGACAGAAACCGAAATTGGCATATTTGCCCTTCCCTAATCAGTCCCAGCCTAGACCAGGGGTTGCCAAACTTTTTGGACCAGTGGGTGTATTTCAAATTTTTAGAGAGTACCAGAGGCACTGAGTTGCGCCAACATTGGGGGGGGGGGTATTGTGCATGTGTGATGTTGCACACATGTGGCACCGGCACGCTGGGCTCCTCAAAATGTCCAGCCAGAGTGCTGGACCTTCATCATGCTGGCGCAACCCTGCTGATGAGGGTCCAGCACTGGCACTCCAGGCTCATAGAGGAGGTCAACGATTGGGAAGACCAACCGTCAGGAGACTCCTCCACCCCCTCAACATTGAGGGGAGCCAGCCCCTAGCTAGCCCAGAGGGTTTAAGATACCCCAGCCCCCTGGAGAGGACTGCGGGTGCCAGCCACAAAATGGCTACCATGTTGGCAATGCATGGCACACAGTAAGGGAGAGTACAGTCATAGTGAACCTTTCCCCATAATTGTATTTCCATACTAGAAAAGGCTTAACCTGTTGAACTTCTCTCTGCCCCACAGCTGTTCAAGGTACAAGAACCATGTTTGGTCGAAACCATTGCACATGTTTTATTTTCCTGCTCATTTTGCACAAAAACTCGTGATGAATATTTAAATCCCATGCTGAAAGAAAGGTTAAATTGCCCCAACATCTCTGGGGTTTCCTTTCTACTGAACAGTTGTAGGTTTGGGATTATGGAGAACGTAGCAAAATTTATGAGAGATGCCATGAAACTACATCACTTTGAGACTTGAGAGGCACTTTTTAACCTTATTAGGTTTGTATTAGTTTTACCTTAAAATAACTCCTTTTATAGGGACGCGGGTGGCGCTGTGGGTTAAACCACAAAGCCTAGGACTTGCCGATCAGAAGGTCGGCAGTTTGAATCCCCACAACGGGGTGAGCTCCTGTTGCTCGGTCCCAGCTCCTGCCAACCTAGCAGTTTGGAAGCACGTCAAAGTGCAAGTAGATAAATGGGTACCGCTCCAGCGGGAAGGTAAACGGCGTTTATGTGCGCTGCTCTGGTTCGCCAGAAGCGGCTTAGTCATGCTGGCCACATGACCCAGAAGCTGTACGCTGGTTCCCTCGGCCAATAAAGCGAGATGAGCACCGCAACCCCAGAGTCGGCCACGACTGAACCTAATGGTCAGGGGTCCCTGTACCTTTAACTCCTTTTATGAACAGATGCCAATTTTACACTTCGACTTATATCCTTTGTATTTTGTGCATGCCAATAAAGGAGATTGATTGAGAGAAGAAGCCTGTTTCCCCACAATGCCAACCCTAAACCAAAGTCTAGGCTGCCATCCTGTATCCACTTTACCTGGGAGTAAACCCCATTAACTAGAAGGAAACTTACTTGTGAGTGGACATGTATACCATTGTACCAGAAGTGAATTGTTAATCTGCCTGATATTTATCTCATGCACAGCAGGAGACATGCCTAAGCCTCTGATCATTTGCCTTTTGGGCCCTCTTATTTGCAGAAAATAACATCTAGGGACTACCTAAGCTTAGACAAACTCACTGCAAGAAAGTTGCATCCTGGTTCTTAGGGGAAAAGGAAGGGTGATCCAAAAAATGCCAATGACTAGTGAATAAGACATACAGTCGTACCTTGGAAGTCTACGGAATCCGTTCTGGAAGTCCGTTCAACTTCCTAAACTTTTGGAAACCAAAGCGCGGCTTCTGATTGGAAGCTCCTGCAGCCAATCGGAAGCCACGGGAGCCCCGTCGGATGTTCAGGTTCCAAAGAACGTTTGCAAACCAGAACACTCACTTCCGGGTTTGCGGCGTTTGGGAGCCAAAACGTCCGACTCCCAAGGCGTTCGGGATCCAAGGTACAACTGTATGTTTTAAACAAGGCTGCCTGTTACAGAACCATCCTGACCTCTTCTCTTCTCCCTTTAGCATCTACATTGGCAGCTCTGGGACTTTTGGCCTCTTCCCCAACAACCGCCTCAAGCGGAGGCCGAGCCATTATGAACAGGACATCACGGAGGGTGAGTGGCTGTGGGGTAAACCTTCCATCAGTGGCGTAGCGTGGGGGGTGCAGGGGGGGCCGGCCGCACCGGGCGCAACATCTAGGGTTAGGGTAAATCCACAGGTTAGGGGGCACAAATCCACGGGTTAGGGGGCGCAAATCCATGGATTAGGGGGCGCAAATTACTTGCCTTGCCCCGGGTGCTGACAACCCACGCTACGCCACTGCCTTCCATGCAGGATGGATGAGAGAGCATAGGCAGAACCACCCATTTTACAGGATTGGGGACTGAGGCTGAGCAGAAGTGTCTTTCTCAGAAAGGCTGGCATTCTCAGCGGAAGAGGAATGTGCCCCCAAGCTCATGCCCCTTTCATGAATGCATTTTATCCACCCACTTACCCTTCTCCTCTTATTTGCCCAGGTCATCAGCCCCAGAAGGTGGCACGCCGGGTCTTCACCAACAGCAGGGAGCGCTGGCGGCAGCAGAACGTCAACGGCGCCTTTGCTGAGCTGCGGAAGCTCATCCCTACCCACCCGCCCGACAAGAAGCTGAGCAAGAACGAGATCCTTCGCCTGGCCATGCGATATATCAACTTCCTGGTCAAGTTGCTGAGCGACCAGGCCAGGTCAGCTGGCGGGGAGCCTCCTGAATCAGAAGCGCCTTGCAATGGCACCCCGAGGACTCCCTCGCCACCCACAGCACCCATAAAAATGGAGCAAGGGACCGTGGAGCCAGTGACTGTGCTGGGGGCAGGAGAGCCGCGGTGATGAAGAGCTCTCTGCCCAAATGTGTGCGGCCGTTGCGTCTCTCCCTCCACACGCTCAAACAGGGCTCAAACACAGCCACATGTGTAGACTGAAGCAGCATTGAAGCACCTGGACTGAATCTCCCTTCTGGGCACTGGATGGAGGACTTGTGTGATGTGGAGGCTGCTATGACCTTCTGAGGATGAATGCTTGGACCAGGACATCCCACTATGCCCACCTGGTGGCATAAAAAGCAGGGACTTCTTTCCGAGGAGGAATTAGGAGCGGGGCTTTTTATGTTCCTGTATCCAGCTTGGCTTGTTTCCAGAATGACCCACGAGAAGGTGTGGGGTGGGGAAGCAGCAGGGAGCCTGGTTTGTATGAGACATAACTCTCCTGCCCCCACCTCCAGTGAAGTGGGGCCCCTGGGTGGGCGAGGGGGACGGTCTTCCGTGTTTTACCTCTGTTCAATGTGCACCACTTCCAAATCCTCAAGCCCAAGCATCTATTTTGTGCAGGGTCTTTAAATCGAAATATGAACCCGGACAAAGGAACGGGAATAAAATCAGGGTTAAGGGGTTGCTCTTGGCATTGGAACTGGGGAGGGGGGGCGGACAGCCCTTAGCTCACAGGCTCCGCCTTTCTGTTGGGAAAACCCTTCATCACAGGGCACAGGCTCAACTCCCTCTGTAAAAGCCAACAAGAGATGGGGGGGAAGTGGCAAGGGGGGAGGTATTGCGTAAATAAATGGGCAGAAGAGAATGGGTTAGGCAGTCCCTCTCCCCCCGCCAATCATCTGCTCACGACTGCAGCCCCTTGTGGCTTTTCATTAAAAAAAGCTGGAAGACTATTATATGCATCTGATATGTCACATCTGATTTGACCCTTACTAGCTCACGCTGGGTGGAATTCAACAAAATTTAACTTTGCTGACTGCCACCCTCTGGATTGTGGGCAGGGGTTCAACGCACTGGAATGGGGAGGGAAAATCCTTCAGAAAGAAAACAAGGAAACGGCTGGGCTAGCACTCTCCTCCCCGACATCCTAATAGGGATCTTTTGTTGGGATCTTTTCCTTGTTAATGCGTTACCTGCCGTCCGCACGTGATACACCTCACCGTCAGAGAGAACCAGGCCTATTGATGCTTCTTTCTTCAGCTCACAGCCATAATTTTAGCGGCCTCAGTGGGCTGCAAGAGGAATTACCCAAGTCTGGGCTTTGAGGGGCTTTGAGTGGGTGTGTTGGGACAGATAGGTGTTGCCACAGCGACTGCTGTGTCACTGCTGGTGGGCCAGTGCCTAGGTTGCGGTGGTTGGGCTGTTGATGGGAGCCCCACGGCTTCAGGAACTGCTCCCCTTCCTGGAAATGGAAGGGCGGTTTGTGCTGAGTCAGTGTCCAAACCTGCCCAACGCTTTCTGGGCCTCCTGCCAAAACCAAATGTGCCAGTGGCAGATCCAGGAGGGTGGAAGGTCCTCCTAGGCTGCTGGTTTTGATTGCGTAAAGGAGGTTGGTGAAGAAGAAGAAGAAGAAGAAGAAGAAGAAGAAGAAGAAGAAGAAGAGGAGGAGGAGGAGGAGGAGGAGGAGGAGGAGGTGGTAGTGGAGGAGCAGCCTTCTGGATGGGGGAGGGAGCGAGCGAAAGAAGGAAGGACAGAAAAGTATGGCGACAGCTACTGCTTATCTGAATGCACCAGCACCCAGTGGATCGCCAGATTAATGGGCCAAGGGGACTGCTGTTTTTCACAGCCATCCCTGCAGGGTGAGCTCTTGCCCCCGTTGGATGTTTCAAATGGCCAGTGCAGCAGGGCTGCCCTGGTCCAGGAGATCCATCCATGCTAAGCCCAGGAGATATTTATGACCTGGAGCGTTCATGCTCTGTCCCAAGAAGAGAGAAATGTTAAAGCTGAAATCATTCCGCAATTAGACAAAATACAGACCGATCCTTTTTAATGCAATTTAACCAGTACTGCAAAATCTTGATCAGTGTGCCTGCTGTGTTCTGAGCCTTATTTTCCTCCCACCCCCCAAATTGGAGCTTGTGTGTGTGTGCGTGCGCTCGCGCGCTGAGATGATTTTTATTACTCCTAGGAATTGAGGATGGAAGAGGTTCGGGCAAGTGAGAGGCAATAGGGAAGGAACGTGTCCTTGGCAGCCCAGAAGTGGGGGCTGGGGTGGGAGAACAGAAAACCATTCAACGCACCAGAGTTTTGCCTTCTGAGTCTACACTGCCATAACTGTATATTTGAAATCATGAAGACTAGAGGCCTTCTGAATTCTTCCAGGGGAGCAGTTCTCCTAGCCTGCAGCAGTAAACAACAACATCCATGGCAGCAAAGAGACTACGTACCTACTTTTGTGGTGGTGCAAGTTTCCACAGGCAATCCCTGTTATGTGCTAGGAATCATTCCAAATGCAGAGAGATGAACAGCCCTGGCAGACGTCACTGTTTTCTGCTTAGCTATATTTTCAGCCTCATTCCCATGGCTAAGGAGTTTCTTCTGTAGCACCTTCCTCTAGGTTTGGAGAATTGGGATGCTTCCTAATGTGAGCTTTATGTTGCAAATGGGTCATTCAGTTCGGGTTCTTCTGCGTGTTTGGCACGTCAGCTTCTACACATGCTTATAATTTCAGTCATGAATATTAATTGCTATTCTGCAGCTTGTGGTTCACATGAAATGGGAAGAGAATGATGGAATGTAGCCTGAGGTGGGGTTTTTTGTTTTTGGTCCCTCACTATAGTCATTCTGCAGTTGCACTCCATTGACTTCTATTTTGGCTAGGCACACTGGTATTTTCTGTGTGTGTGTGTGTGTGTGAGCACTTCTAAAGAAAAAAAATCCCAGGAAGAGAGCAAGAGCAAATGTAACCAGACTTTACATTTCAACAATGGGCAAAATGGATATGTCTACTGTGACACTGTGGTCTAAACCACTGAGCCTCTTGGGCTTGCTGATCGGAAGGTCGGCAGTTCAAATTCGCGCAAGAGGGTGAGCTCCTGTCGCTCTGCCCCAGCTCCTGCACGTTAGTGCAAGTAGATAAATAGGTACCGCTGTGGCAGGAAGGTAAATGGCGTTTCTGTGTGCTCTGGTTTCCATCATGGTGTTCAGTAGTGCCAGAAGCGGTTTAGTCCTGCTGGCCACATGACCCAGAAAGATGACTGCAGACAAATGCCGGCTCCCTCAGCCTGAAAGTGAGATGAGCGCCTCAACCCCGTAGTCGCCTTTGATTGGACTTAACTGTCCAGGGGTCCTTTACCTTTATTTTACAAGAGTGCTAAAGCAGTATTGCACAGTACAGTGGTACCCCGGGTTACATACGCTTCAGGTTACAGACTCCACTAACCCAGAAATATTACCTCAGGTTAAGAACTTTGCTTCAGGATGAGAACAGAAATTGTGCTCGGGTGGTGCGGCAGCAGCGGGAGGCCCCATTAGCTAAAATGGTGCTTCAGGTTAAGAACAGTTTCAGGTTAAGTACAGACCTCCGGAACGAATTAAGTACTTAACCTGAGGTACCACTGTATATGAGAATTATTATTATGAGGAATTCAGCATTGTGCTAAGTTGATCATCCCATCAGTGCAAGCTTTTCAACTTGCCAGATGGAAAGATCCCTCCTCTTCTCCCCTGCACCTTGTTCTAGGAATTCTCCTGACCCTTGGGAGCCAGTTTGGGGGCTGCTATGAGGAAGCACAAGAGAAGAGGAGGAAAACCTCCATTTGCTGCCGGGTTTGGTTAAGTGAATTCAACATTTCGATGAGTGGCCTCTGTTTCCACACAGCCTACTTCTGTGCACTCCTTGCATGAACAGATCTGTACAAGACCTGCGACAATAATTTAAAAAATGCTTGGGGGCTGCTTGTCACCCCAAACGGGGGCAGGGTGTGTCTGTGTGTGCCAGTCTTCCCATCCCAGCCTTCTCCAGCTGACCTTTAACTTCAGCTTAAAGCTCCTCAGAATTGTGTTGCCTCTTCTAGATCTTTTTTTGAACTTCTCCAAGGGTTTCCTGAGGCAGGAAGGAGATCTGAGGGCATGGAGAGAGATTTTGGGCCCTTCTAGACATCCTTCTTATTGTGCATTCATGGTGATTTCTGTTCTTGGGGGAGTCACACAAGATCCCAATTTCAATTCTGCTTGTGGCTGCAAAGGTTTTGGGGTGGTCATGCTGTCTAATTTCCAGTCAGCACATATCCTGTAACTTCCTGCTGAAATCCTGTAACTTTTCATAGCACAAATGTCCTGGCTTTGCCCGTTTTTGTCCTGCTATTGTTGTGCTATATCTCCCCCAGACGGCAATAATGTGGTGCCATTGGGGAAGCACCGCAGAACAACTAATAAAGCAGAAGGGATCAACGCAATGCTTCTTTTCTTTAAAAAAAATGTTTAGGGGGTACTCTCATTTTGACTCAAGAAAATCACCATTTTATAGTTAAAATTGGGAAAAATAAAGACAAGTAAATGGTAAAGGTAAAGGGACCCCTGACCATTAAGTCCAGTCGTGGCCGACTCTGGGGTTGCGGCACTCATCTCGCTTTATTGGCCGAGGGAGCCAGCGTACAGCTTCCGGGTCATGTGGCCAGCATGACTAAGCCGCTTCTGGTGAACCAGAGCAGCGCATGGAAACGCCGTTTACCTTCCCGCTGGAGCGGTACCTATTTATCTACTTGCACTTTGACGTGCTTTCGAACTGCTAGGTTGGCAGGAGCAGGGACAGAGGAACGGTAGCTCACCCCGTCGCGGGGATTCGAACCGCCGACCTTCTGATCAGCAAGTCCTAGGCTCTGTGGTTTAACCCACAGCGCCACCCGCGTCCCTACAAGGACAAAAGTACAAATATTCATGTCCCCCCAAATTAGCGTCCCCCCAGAAAAAAGTAGTGGATCCATGGCTAATGCACTTTTGCTGTGTTAATAATATGTTGCAGAATGCACCTGCAACAAAACACCAGTCTGGAAGAGCCCTTAAAAAAACACAGCAGCAGCAGGAATGCACACACATCCTCTGACACTTGCTTTCCCTCCCAAGAGTGGAGATTCTTAGAAAGACTTGCAAAAACTGAAAAGAGATTTAGGTCTGATCTGACCACCTGCTCCTCTCAGCAACATGTCCAAAGCCTGCAGTGCTTTAAGTAGAAGCTGCAGAAGGCTGGGAGAAAGGAATTAATTTGCAGAAAGCTTGGCACATACAACTACAGACCCTTACCTGGTCAAGAGCACTAAGGAGCCCAGCTCCAACCACCTATTTATATTATTACAGATCTAATAAGTCAGAATTGTAAAAAACAAAAAACCAGGCAAACTACAGCTGAAACCTTTAAGTTGATTGTGAAAGGAGTGATTGAGGTTGAGAGAAAAAACCAATTAACCAACAAACCGTATACCCTGGATATTTCCTGCCAAGCTCTGCACAGTGGTGTGGACAGCAAACAGCAGAAACAGAATTAATATTGTGAGTGAAAAAACAGATGTGCAGAGCCTCATGTGCCAATCACACACACGGAGAAAAATTGGATCTGAAAGACCCGTTCTGAGATTGTGCCTGGACACAGCTTCTCTATGTGTGTGTGTAGTAGTTTTTAACAGATGTTGAAGACCAAGACCTGCCCAAGACATTTTGGCGCCTGAGGTGATCCACAAAATGGCACAAACACACACCAGGGAAGATCATCATCGGGAACAAGCGGGGAGTAAAGATCTACACTGGGAACAAAATCAACCTCACCTGGTGGCTGAAGTGGGGATCAATGGCTGTTGTGTGGAGGGGGAAGGAGCCTGCTCTGAATCACACCAGGCGGATGCAGAGCCCAGAGGGCAGCTCCCGCCATTTCCTCCCCAGTGGTGGGAGATTAGCTGCACCTCCTATTCACCAAGAGACTGTTGTAGAGGCAGCACTGGAAGGAGGCTGCCGAGGAGGAAGGTCCAGCCTCCTAGGAGCCTGCCACTGCAGCAACGGTGGCAGCGGTGGGTAATGCGTTCCTTGGAGGCCAGATCTGCTGCCCCTGTGGATCCTGCCACCCGAGGCGGTTGCCTCACCTTGCCTCATGGGTGGGCCAGCCCTGTTGAAGACTCTTCCACAATCAGCGAGCAGTGAAGTAAAAATGGTTAAAAACAAAAAGCAAAAAACCAGTGTTTTTACTAGCCTTCTTCAGATACATTTTTGTAAAGCTTAGGATAAAACAAGGAGCAAGTCCTGTGCAATGAGACAGGCTGATTTCACCGCCAGTCCTCAAGCTAATGGGCAAAATCCATTTTAAGCTGAATTTTTCAAACATGCAACTTAATCCATTTAACCCACCAGTGCTCTATTTGCTACAATTATATCCTGCCAAGGAACACAAGACAGCCCATGCGTTGGCCTCACCTATTCCGTCCACATCACAACCCTGTGAAATAGGGTTAGGGTCTGTGTGACTTCACCTGTTGACTTCTGAATTTATTAGTTCATTACCAGGAAGCTACAACAGCCCTGGTGCATGAACTATGCTTTCTGCGGTATGAACAACTTCTTTTAGCTATGAATGGTACTTTACCCTTTTCCTTCACAAGTTCATGAGCTCTGTTTATTTCTTTATTTGGCATGTGTGGGCAAAGCATCCTTATCAACATTGTCCAGGTATGCTTAGCCTGGAGAAGAGAAGACTAAGAGGTGATATGATAGCCATCTTGAAATATCTGAAGAGCTGTTGCAGGCATGATGGAGCCAGGGGAGTTTTGGTTTGCTAGCAGCGTTTGCTGTGTTTTGGGAAGACCTGGTGCTTTATCAGTCATCAACAGCCACCAACAGCCACCGCAGCTCTCACACTCCATCACTTTAGGGATGAGCATATCTTGCACATGTACTTCCTGAAGTTAATGGAGCTGGTCAGGGTTGCTGAGTTGAGCCTCAGTAGAAGACAACTACAGTGGTACCTCTAGTTGTGGACACGATCCGTTCCGGGGTGCTGTTTGCACCCCGAAAAGTCCACCACTAGAGTGGCGCTTCTGCGCAAGCGTGGAGAGCGATAGAGCAGAACGCTTCTGCGCACACGGTGAAACCCGGAAGGTTTGCAAGCCGAAAAGACGCAACATGAACCCTAACACAACGCGAGGTATGACTGTACCATTTCCCTGTGAACATGTCTGTGTGGTGTGTTGGGGCCCCCGATCAGTCGCCCCTGCAGCCCCAAACTCATGCAACAAATACATTCAGGGGAGTATTAGGGCTCCGTGGCCATTCATCCATCAAGGAAGCCAAAGAGAGACAATTACAGTCAATAACATTCTTTAATTCAATCAGTTAAAGAAGGTGCTGCATCTATAAACTTTTATTATGGAAAAAATTGTAATTAACACATGCGTATTACACCCCGCTCGGAGAGTGGCACTTGGGGAGGGAGGGGAAGTGCCGAGGGCTGACTGGGACAGGGGAAGGGGCTGGAGAAGCTGGCCCACCACATCGCAGCAGCTGGTTCCCTTCTTTGGGGGCAAGGATGAGGGTCGAGCTACATGAAATGAAGGCTGGTTTAGCAGAGGGAGCCATTTTGTAGGCCTCAGCTTCCCTCCTGTGTGTGAAAAGTGCAGGCGGGGGAGGGGGGAGAGTGGAGAAAGCAGGTGGGGATGATAAGCAATGGTGGGAGGGGCTCCCATGAGCCCCACCTGGAGGCGGTTGGATTGCAATCTCTGTAAACATCTTTTTGTTCACATTTCTGAAGCTGGATGCATAAAAGTTTGATCGATTTCTCTTCCTGTCTCGGTTTGTTCGCTGGTGGCAGCAAAGGCATCAGTTTAAGGCACTTCCCTTAATTCGGCTGCAGGGTTATGAGTTCTTTTTGTTTTCAAAAACCAAACCAGTATAGCAATGAACAGCTTCGTAAAGGAGCGGGAGGGCGCTGAAAGGGTGGGGGATGGAGCTGGGAGACGGCTGCTCTGGAGCATCAGGCTGGCATCGGTGGAAACGGGCACACACCTTTGGGGCCTGAGCTGGGTAAGACTGCAGGTGGCACACCTGAGACTGGCACCCCTCTGGCAAAAACCTCACAGTCGCCAAAAAAAGAGAGCCTCGCTCTCCCTGCATTGGAATGGGCAGGTACTGTCCTAACATCCACAGTGGGCCTCAGCCCAAATGGAGGGTGTCTCAGTGGGTGGCAGGGGGAAGAGTTCTTCCCAAAAACAGCTCCTGGGTGCCAAGGTATGTCCCACAAAAGGATTCAAGGCTGGAGGCTGCGGAATGGAGTCGTTGGGGAAGATCTGCCTCTGCACAAGGAAGCAACAGTAATGGAAGACGTTACTAAGCACTCCCCATGGCGATGGGGAAGAAGCATCTCCATCGGTTGGCTGCGCTTCATCAAGAGCACCCAGGAAACGGGAGCTGGTTTTTGTTTCTGCAACCATTCGGGCCTCTCCCTTATCCTATGCAAACATATGCTGGCTCCCCTTTGGCTTTCTCACTGGGTCACTCCCAACCTTTTCTCAGCAAAGCTGGAGTGAAGCTGGAGTCAGGGGTGTCTTACCCATAGAGGCTAGTGGTGCCAAGTGCTGGAGGGCACCAGGGAAGAGGCAGAGGCTGGACGAGGCGCCTCCTGGCATCAGCTTGCTGCCCTCGCCCGCCTCTGCCATGCTGCGCTGCGCCCGGAGCCTCTGTCTGCTGTGGCCACCGCAGCACGAAGCGTCCAGCTGAGCCGGGAGGCGCTGCGTCCAGTCTCTGCCTCTTCCCCGCCCTCCAGCCGCTGCCCGCCTCCTCGAGCCCCGTCCTCCCTAAAAAACTCTGGGAAACAGGGGGCTTTGCACCACGGCGCCGGATATGCTTAAGATGGCCCTGGCTGGAGTGACCTGTGAAACCACCAGTGTCTTTCGACAGACGACCACCATGTTAGCTCAGCCTAGGAAGATGCTGTGGAAAAGCTGTGGGCCTGTGGAAACCCAACAGGGGGCTGAGCCGCTTCTGAAAACTGGACCTCTGTACCTCATGACTTCAGGGCTGGACTCCCAAGTCAAAAGCTGACCCCGGGCTGTGAAGCTCTGGGCCTAACTAGAATTGACCGCAGCGGAGCCATCTTTTCCATGTGGGTCTGCCCCGATAAAGGGAGTTTCAGAGCAAAAGGGGTTCTGAGCCCCCTTCCCCCCATGGCTTGCCTTCCTCTCCTGCCTGCGCCCACAAGCGTTTCTCCCTCTCCAGCTACAAGGGAGCCCGGAGGGGAGAGAAGTGCTTTGGGGAGGGGAAGGGTTGTGGGAGGTGAGCGGTGCTGCCTCCAGCTGCCGGATCCACAGCAGCTGCCCTCCCTCCACATGTCAGCAGGTGTCGTGCCAGGAGGCATCACTCCGAGATGCCCAATCCTAAAGGATACGTGAGGAGGAACTGAAGTATTGTCTTTGCCGCTGAAAAAATGACCTCTTAATTAGGCACTTTACAATTTGACCAAAGGGATGGCGGGCGGGCGGTGGGCGTATGGAGGGAATGGGTCTATTCTTGATGTTTCTGAGCAGCTCCTCCAGAAAGGAATGGGAATGGGGAAAGAAGGGACACAGACCCCCCCACCCCCGAAAAAAACCACCCACCAACACAGACAGACACACATTGTTGTGGAGCCCTCGGCACTCCCCTCCACTGGGCTTCCCATCTCTGCTCTGAGGAAGGAATTGGTGGGACAAGGAAAGAGGGAAGCCGGTGATTTTTTTTTCTTTTTTAAAGTATATGTAGTTTTTTTTCCTCTTTTTTAAACATATTTTGAATTTTTTTTCTTTTTCCCCCTCTTTTTTTTTTTAAATTCACATAACACAATAAGCCATTCCAATGGAGAAAGCCGAAGAAAGCTCAGGCAAAAATGATAAAACAGTTTGGATTTTTCCTTTTTTTTTCCTTTTTTTCTTTTTTGTCGTGAAGCAATATTGACAGTTATAACATATGGCTACCTGCATTCTGCTAGACACGGAAGAAACTTCAGAAAGAACAAAAACAGACGAAGAACTACCTTTTATTTTCAAGTGCGGGGGGTGGGTGGGAGGGAAGGAGGGGGTTCGGAAGAACAGACTCAAAGACACGAAGGGGGCATAGGGGAGGCGCAGGAGAGGCAAGGGGGTACGGTCGGGGACGGGGGGGGGGGCGGATGAGGAGAAAAAGCACACCAAATTCCATTAGTACTATATATATACTGTACTGTACTCATATATATACTGCGTTTCTTAACCAAGGAAGAAACTTGTTCAAAGGGGCAGGGGTGGGTTGCAGTCAGGGAAGCTGCAGTTTCATGGATCTCAAGGTTTTACTGCCGAGCGAGAGAAGTGGGTTTGGGGGTTCGCGGTGGGTGGGGAGGGGGGTGCATGCAGAAGGTGGGGGGTCAGCAAAAAAGGGAGAGAAAGGGGGCTGCGGAAGGGATCTGGCCAGGAAGGACAGGAATGCTCAAGGACAGGAACGCTCCACGGTTATTCCTAAAGCGAGAGACAGAAGGTGAGAGATCCGAATAAAGTGAGGGCCTGAGGATCCTTTTCGGAGCACAGGGTGACTGCTCTTGGCCACGTGGGTTAAGTTCAAGCCAAGGGACACCCTCCCTCCCCCTCCCACCACAGATAAGGTGCCCAAGGGAGGGCAAGGAGGGTCTCAGTAGGTTTGTCGGACGAAGCCCTGGTAGGGCAGTCCAGTCCAAACTGAAATCATCTTGGGATTTGTGAACCTAACACCCCTCAGGGCTCCCAGAGGAGCCACCAGCAGCCGCTGGGTGCATCAAGGGCCCCGACTAAGCATCACCCGAGAGGGGCTGAGGGCCCCATGCAAGATGGCAGATAGGGCCCCCTGCTCAGAAAGGCTGCCGAGAGAAATCCACGCAGCCTTCAGCGCTGCTGCTTGGGTGGCACGCATCCTTCCCTCTCTCCTGGGTGGCGCTGGCCCTCTCTTATGCATGGGGCAGCAGAAGCCGGCCAAAGAGAACGAGGCACCACTGCGTTTAGCCATGGCCACAATTCCCTCTTGCTGGTCGAGGCTTGGCTGTTTATTGCTTTCCCCTGTATTGAGCACATGGGTCAAAGGGGGGAAGGGGCGGGATTTCCAGTAACCCACCCACCCACCCCGGCAGAGCATGCGGTCCATCTGTTCCAGCGGAAGATGGGTTTACAAAAGGCACTATGTCAGCTGGCCAGTTAAGCGGGGTGGGAGTAAGGCAATACCATCCATCTTGGTCCTTCCCTGAAGCGAGACGTTTCTCCAAGTCAACCTTCCATGCTCTGAGAGGCTGTGGGGCAAGGGGGTTGGGGTTGGGGGAGTATGCACTGCTGCTTTGCCCCCTGCCCCACCCACCGCCCCGAAAGCCAGCAAGGGAAGGGAGGGAGTTGAGAGGAACCACGGTGGGGAGGCTGTGAGAAAGAGGGCAAGCGAGGGCTGAAAAGAAGCAACTTAGGGGAGGATGGAAGGAGTTCAATGGACGGGATGCTGGTGAGATCACAAGGCGGCTCCTCTTCCCAAAGAGGAGCCCCTGAAAGATGAGAGAGGGAGAGGGGGAGAGAGAGCGCACGCTGCAGATTTGGCTCACTAGGAGAGAAGAAATCAAAGGCATTCCCAAAGTCAATTGGTTTTGCTTAGCTCTATGCGGGGGTTGGAGAGAAACAAGCCAGGTGAACCAAGATAGAAGGGGGGTGCGGTGGCAAGTGATGCGAGGGGGAGAGGGGAGAAAGGGGTGAAAGGAGGCAGAGAACCACGGCCTGTGCAGGAACCTTTGCCGTGGCAATCTCACCGTCACCCATCTCACTCGGCAACCTGGGAAGATCCATGAGAAGCTGCCAGAGACTTGCTGGTGCGTTTGACTGCAAGGCCCGCTGCCCCTTTCAGCTAAACATAAAGAAGGGATAATGCATGTTTCCTAAAATGTGCTTTATGATAACAATTAATTGGTTCATAAACTATGTATAATAGAGATTTTAATGTATTTTATATTGTAAGAAGCACCAGGTTTTGTATTTTTAATCTTTTTTCTTCTTTTATGATTTTTAGGGTTTTTTTGTTGTCCTTTTCTTTAATTTTAATTTTGCAGTTTTCTTCTATGTTTTTAACCTGATACAGTGTTTTGTTTTGTTTACAATTTTATTTTTGCGTGTGAAAAACTTTTGCCTTCAGCCCTCCCATAAAACGACAAAACTAATGAGGAAAAGGAAAAAACAAAACCAAACCCCGATCATTATCAATTATTTTTTTTAAAAAAAGGATTTAAAAAACAAACAAGAAAAAGGAAAAGTAAACAAATGAAAAAATAAACAGAAAAAGTTTTTTCCCCATACTTACAAAGGTTGGGTTTTTCTTTTGTCCCTATTTATTTAGAGTCCCTGGGAACAGAGGACTTTGCAACAAAAATAGATTTTTTCTCTTCTTCTTAACAATCTTTAACATACAAAGATATTAAAACTATGCACTCCATTGCACTTGGCTCAATGCAAACAAAATTGGTTCTTTTAAAACCCCTAATATATATTTTGCTTTTTTAAAAATCCCCTCCCCATTTTTAAACACACATTCCTGTGTATCTTTCTTTCTCCTGCCCATACCTTCCAGCCACCATAATTTAAAGTCCTGTGTGCCACCCCTTCCAGGTTCCTCCTCAGTGTTTACATTCGCCCTTTTAAAGGACCCAAACCAGGTAGAGTTTAACATGTAAGCGGATGACATTGTCACTCTGTCCACCCACATGCTGCTGTCACCCAACGGTTGCACTCTAGGAGATGCCAAGAGTGAAGTGTGTGCTTAAGCACTGCGAGGACTCAGAGCCTCCTTTTCAGAATGAGATACAGTAAACCTCTACTTGTTCCCACCTCCAGTTTTTAAGTGCTGATTATTTGTGGTCGCTTGCCTTTGGACTCCTGCAAATCTCTGGCCCTGCCACTTTTTTAGACCATCCAAACAGATAGCCCCCCTCCCCATGGTTTCTCAAGCAAGGAACCTATTCCTAGCAATCCTGGGCATTATATTTAGAAGCTTGCCGAAATCAGACCTGAATTACTTGATTGAATGGTTTTCTTTTAAATAACTGAATACATTGACTGAATGAATTCAGCAACCGAAAAGATGCTGTAGCAGCACCAACTATGGTGGCCGTCGGTATTTATTTTCTGGTTTGGGCCACCCCCACCCGCTTTTTGCACATTGCTCTGCATTCAGAAATGGTCACCAGGAGCTTGGATGCACTTTTTAAGAATTGGGGAGGGACACTGTCTTTCTCAATTGGGGAAATGCTCCAAATGATTCTTATGTCAAAATAAAATGAAATATGCACAGCACTCCAGATGCTGTAGTAGGTGCCTTCTTGCCCTGGACTGCAAGGCTTGAGTTATCTTCAACTTCATCTCACCTCAAAGTCTCGTGATTTAGATCACAATGGGACCATGTCCCACGCAACCAGGGGAAAGAAGGGCGATTGGTACTTTGCAGGAGAAAGGATGCTGAGGAGGGGAGGGGGCAGACTGCACTGGAGGACAGGAGACGTCTGTTTTCTTAAGACCACCAAGGTGGGAATGGTTTCCATTCTGACATTTGCAGAACTTCTTTGTGCTCTTAAGGACATAGACATAACCTTGGGCTTAAAACCTGGGAGCCTTCCAACCTCACGACAAGGAACGAGGCTGTGTCCCAATTCCAGTTACTGCTCTGATCTCTGCCCATGTCACAGATGTAAGCTCAACCCTCAGTGCTTGCCTAAATTACTTTATGGATATTTGGCTAGAGACTACTATTCATTTGTTCTCATAGATCTGAGAGCAGTCTGAAAGAGGAATGACCAATTTGTGTTGTATACACTTATCCCATTGTTGCCTCTGGTAAACAGCTTTTCGGGTTGTTTCAAAACCCTGAAATATCTGCTTCCTGAGAGGCGACGCGAAATGCAAGGTGACCCCTCTCTCAACACACACTCTTCAAAATCATTGTCTTTCTACATCCCCAGCTGCTTAGTCTCTGAAAGGTTGTATTTCACCTCTGAGTTGCATTTTACTGAAGGTATTGGGTGAGGGCCCTGGTATGGGGGAAGCAGCAAAGCACCACTCCTAGACTCCATGCAATCCAGGTCTGCAGTCTGACTGGGCAAGAGCAGACCTGACTCATGCCAAAGATGGAAGCCTCAGGCAGGCGGCTCCACATGCAGCAGCCAATTATGTCAGCCAACTGAAACGTGTACATGTATTTTCGGCAGGCTACTTGCTCCCTTACCACATTCCTCATGGAGAAGAACTCCCTCCCTTCATGCAGCAGCTGTCCTGCAGCTGTGCAGGGTCAGGCTTCATGACTCCTCCATGAAAGCAGGCCTCTGATAAGGGTGGCCACTGTTAAAGGTGTGTGTGTGTGTGTGTGTGTGTGTGTGTGTGTGTGTGTGTTAGAGAAAGAGTGTGTGTGTGTGTGTGTTCCTCTGACATCTGGGAACCGGTGGGTGTGAATGGGGATAAGCAGGGAAGCCAACTGCTGGTGGAGGGGAGGGGCAGATCTGCAGCCCTCAGAATTCCCTTCCTTGACCCTGTTTCTCCATTTGGAACTGGAAAATCATTGCACTTAGACAGGGATGCAGATACCTGGTCCCGCCAGCAGCTCCTGACTATGTCTGCTCCAGAACTTGCTGATGCATCAGCTGGGGATCACTGTGGCAGAGAGGAGAGGGGCTTCAGGAGGTTCTCTAGATCAACTTGTTTTCTTGCACGGTCATTTGGGGGCAACTCCAGGCACTGCAAGCCAGAAACCCAAATGCAATTGCCCTGGGCAGATGGCATGGGAGCCCATTCCCTGCAGCATTCTCCAGATCCACTCCAAATCAGACAATCCCTAACCCTTACTGGAGTTCATTCAACAACACAACATAGCGCTACTGCCAGCCACGCTGCCCCTGAAGGTTGTCACGGTGGATGGCAGGGAGTTGCTAGGGGGGCAGGTGGTGCAGCAAACGCCTATCCTAAGTATACCATGTGGAGTTGCCCTGTAACAACCAGTGACCCCTCATGCAGAGATGGACACATTTAACAGGGAAGATGGGGTGGGGAGGGGGGTGAACCCCAAAGAATTTGGCAAAGCTCCTGCCCCCAAAGCTTAGCATGGGGGTAAAAAAGGAGAAAGAGAGGGGCCTCTTCCACAGACCTTTGGAAAATAAATAATGAAGATCTCATTGGTGCAAAACAGAGGGGGGCGCTTGCTCTCCTCACTTATTATTATTATTATTATTAATTATTATTATTCTTTTGTAGTCTGAGAAAGGGAAGAGGAAATTGTGCGGAGCTGTGTGGTCGATTCTGGTGCGTATGTGTGCATGCGTAGTGTACAGCCGGCAATGTCAAACCTTCACATCTACCAGTCAGGCAGCTTCCACTACCTCTAACTCTATACAATTAATTTTGTTGCGCTGAAGTTTTGCTGAGAGTGTTCATATGTTCTAAGCTCAAAGGGTTTTTCTTTTTGTTTGTCTCAACGATGACCACAAAACCCTAGCGTTTAATTTCTTTGCTGTTGTCACCTGTATGTAGAGGAAGCCAAAGGAAATGCTACAACTAAAGGAGGAAAAGAACAAAGTGGAGAAAAGGGATCAGGAAGAGCATCAAACCATAGTAACAACAGACACCCAAAACCTCAAAAGGAAAATACTGGAACTCAGAGGAAAGGGACACAGCCCAACCTGTCCAGAACAGGCTACAAGCTCTGCAGAAACGTGCCTGACTGAGCCAGCTGCCTTTGCTCCAGTGATTTGTCTGGGGTACAACTTGAATGTGGCCTCTTTGCTCTCTTGTCAATGGATTCTTTTTACAATGTTTTTAGTAAGCATCCACTGGGTCTCCAAGTGTCATTTGCCCTATGGCAGTGGTAGCAGATGCTCTCTTTGCTAAGAGAAATACTTAGAAACACTTTCCAGCCCAATCCGTCTTGGACTCGTGAACCCAAGAGTGCCTGCCTTTCTTGTATGTGAAGGGATCCCAGTTCATGGAGAATATGACTGGGAGTGCCTTCTACATAAGCCCTAAGGTGTTATTATATATATATATCTGAGATGCAGGAAAGGTTCATCAATGGCAAAGGACACCAGGAGTCACCAGACACCAGGATGTGTCAGGTGTGTGTGGTTTTGTCTCAGAGAGACAGGGAGAGGGCACTAGGGAGAGCCTCCCCTCTTGCTCAGGAATGGAATATTGTCTCGGCATCTGGTAGTCAGGAGCGTTTCTGTTTTTGCTTTTTTAAGTAATGAGGATGCTATGTTAAATTTCATTAACAAGGGAATTTACTGCAAGGGGGAATTTATGTTTGGTAGGAGATGTTTGTGCTGTGAATGCCAACCAAGCATTATGACCCTAGTACTGCTCTAATCATAGCCAGTTCCAATTGTGAACCAGTGCACCACACTGGACACGCTTTAAAAAACATATTTAGGAGGATATTTGAATTTAGGACAAACTTCATTTTCCTGCTGCCCCTGTACCACATTGCGAAGTTTCAAAAAGCAAATTGAGTGACCTAGAAACACAACTCTCCTCAAGTCGCAAATAGGCTCATAGGAATTAGGCTGGTAGGCAGTTGAGGCATTAAGAAAGTGCCTCCTCTTTCATTTTGCAACAAACATAACCCCTAGCAAAACTTGGTGCAAATTTTGGGGGTTTGAGGCTGGTTAATGTGAATGCTATTCCTTCCCCATGATGAATAAGAGAAACCCCTTTCTTTTTTTAACCATTGCTTGAATAGCCTGTCCAGAACTATCATATCATTGAAACAGGATTACGTGACTTCTGTAGGTGTTGATGGGATTCCTTGCAGAAGACAAGCCTCTTCTACGCAAATGCAAAAATCTGCTTTGGATCGGGGAGGTCCAACGTAATTCTTTTAAGCTTCTCATCTGTAGTGTTACCCAACGTCTCTTACTTTTCCTTGAAGAGGAGCAGCTCAGTGAAGATATGGGTTAAGGACTGAAGATTCTGATTCTCAGGACGTGAGCGAAAACTTATTATTATCATCATCATCATCATCATCATCACCATCATCATTATTATTTTTCTTCGCTTGAAGATCCCGTCAGAGGAACCAAGACTGGAGCAGAAGAAAACACAAAAAGGGAGAATTAAAACAGAGCGTTGCAAACTTTCTTTTTCCTTTGCTTGGCAGGCTAACATTGATACCCATCAAACGAAACCCACAGTGCTAACCCAGTCACTGAGTTTGGTGCCTTTGCTTTCTTCTGGCAAGCTCCAGTCATCTAATCCCATTTTTTGTTCCTGACTTGTTCCTCGCTAGTGTTCCAACCCATGATTTCCCCTCACATTGCTCTGAAATACAGATGCCCCCTCATCTCCCTTTGCTGAAAAACTCCCTTGTTAAGGCCACTCATGGCTACATTTGTGTACAAGTGTACATTTGACAAGGAGAAGCGACTAATATTGGCTCTCTGGTGAAGGTAACTATATGGATGACACATGCATTTCCGGGCTTTTGTCACAATTACACTGTGCATTTGTTGGCATACGCTTAAACGTGTTAGGGTTGGAACAAGGCCACTTGCCAAAAATGGCGATCGCACATCGAGTTTCCTCTCTCCTCTTTCCATCCAGTTTAGGAAAACTTGCCCATATCCTAAGGTTATCGGCAGTGTGTTTCCTTGCCCCAGTACTACATCACCAATGTTAGCGACATGGGTGGGGAAACACACAGTGTCGGTGTCAAGAAGGCTCAGGGGCAAGCTTAACTCTGTGTGCCAGAGGGGAAAGGGGCAAACTCGACACCAGGCTACCATTTTTTATGTTCACCAAAACATCTAACGTTGTCCCTCAGTATACACTTTTGAACACACTCCATTCTCCAAGGAGCTCAGGGTGGCACATGTGATTGTCCCCTCCCAGGTTATCTTCACCACAATCCTACAAGGCAAGTGAAGCTGAAGGAGTGTGTGACTGGCCTAGTACATCAGAGCTCAGTGGGGATTTGAACCCAGGTCTCCCTGGTCAATGTCTGACAGCATATCTGCTAGACTACACAGGGTTTGGGCTTCTTGCCACTGTTTGCATTTGTGCTGAAACCAGACAAGGATTATTTTCTTTAGTATCTAATATGACACCTGATGTAACTTCTCCCTCTCTTTCTGTTTATCTTGCCTTTCTTGCTGCTACTCCCAAGGTGCTGCCTACTTTCGTGGAAAACGTGCAGCTCAACGCAATTTTACAGCCCTGCCTGAAGCTGTTCCTTTATCAGCAAGAAATTGTGAGCCAGAATTCAGTGAAACAGCTTTTGCTTCTCCTGCTGTTTGCAAAGACAAAAAGCTTAGCATTGGCCACCAATGCCTTGGGATGCTTCCAAGTGCTGCACTAAGAGCGTTTTCTGGCTGTAGTGTATTATATAGTGCTGTTTTGAACCTTCCCTTGAGAGAAGGTGAGTTCCAGTCCTTTACCCAACCTCACGCACCCTACTCCCACCTGCTAACTTTCTCCTGACAAATGCTGCTTGATCCCTGCCCTTTGCTCTTACTCAAGGATAAGGGATGTAGTGCCCCTTGGTATGTACTGTTGGACTCCAGCTCCCATCAGCCCCAGCCAGTATGACTGATGGTCAAGGATGATAGCAGCTGTGGTCCAGCTACACCTGAAGGGACACAGTTTCCCTGCTGCTGCTAACTACTGCCAACAGCAACAGCCTCTTCAATGGATGGGAAGGTGAGGAGGTTCAGGTGGAAAGTTCTTATTTCAACTTCACCCTCCTGTAAATCCCAAAGCCACACATGCTTTCTTCTTCTGGTTACTAAAGAAGAATTTGATGTGTGTTCTATATTATTATTATTATTATTATTATTATTATTATTATTATTATTTGTAGTTTAGCAGTGGGTGGAACCTCCATGCCTGGCTCCTGATCTATCTGCCACAGACTGATCAGTGCCTGGAAGTTCACAGTTCCCTCCAAGCTGAAAGGTGAGGGGCAGAGATGCAAGCTCTGCATGAAGGCACAATCTGCTCCCTGACAGTGCCAAGTAGGGTGGGGGAAGGTGACACACTGTAGATAGAATCGCCATCTGCGGCACCGAGAGAATACTGAAAGCGCTGTGGAGGAAGGGAGAGGAGGAAAGGAAGGCAGCGCCAAATAACTGGATTCTCTGGAGGAAAACGCAAGCTTTGCAATGGCCACCAGGAGGGGCTCTGCTACCGCTATTGGGAAGCCCAGGGAGTTCTCCCTTTTTCTAGCCCCCAGCTTCTCTCTGCCTCTCTTGGGCCACTGCCAAACGCTTTCCCTGCCTATTCTGGAACTGTGGAGCATGCCTACTTCATTGGGCAAAGCTCACCTTTATGCATCTGTTCTTAAAACCGCTCGGAAAAGGAGGCCTTGCTCCGTTTATGAGAATGTGTAGGACAGAAAGAGCAAACTTCCATTTCCTGCAGTTTTCATAGCACTAGCAGAAGCAGAAACTCAGCCTCCTCCCAACTTTCCCAGCCAGTGGTCCGCCTCCCCCTACCGCTGCAAGAGGCAAGCAGGAAGGATAATGTTAAGCAGGTAGTCTGCTTAACAGAAGGATAATGGAAGCTTAGGACGTATGATGAAAGGACTATAATTGTGACATGCCGCAAAGCAAAATTGCCAAGCTCCAAAATGCAGAACTATGTCAACCCACCAACCCCCACTGCCCATTGGGTACCAAACTTGGGTTTCCTGACTTCCAAAGTTTATTTATTTCTATAGGTCACTTCCTGCTCTTTTCCAAGATGCTTTTTAATATTTTTTGTTCTCTCCAGCTCTTTTTGCTTCACACATCCTCTCTCCGTTTGGCCAGTCCATGTTCCTTTCATAAAATAAGATGCCAGCTCTTACACCCAAGTGAATTCATGCCAGCCAACTGCATCGCTGGCCATTACTCATTGTCACAGATTCCAGCCAATCAGGTGCAGATGCACCCCCAGTCTAAATACTTCAACTGGGTGAGGCGTGCTATGATGCTCAATCTTCTAAGCCAATCATAAGGGACTAGGCAAATTACAGCATCAGAAGCAAAACCTGACATCCTCTGGTGGTGGTGGAGAACCAATACAAATTAGAGATTTGGAAACAATCAATCAAACAAAAACAAAAACAACAGCACATCATTTTGCCCGCTCCTGCTTTGTGACTGGCTAGATTAGAAAATGATGTGCCTAAAAAGCCAATCAGAATGCTGTGCCTCAGTAACAAGCCAGTCAGGAGTTGTCACTCCACCATGACAACGTCCACTTGGCAGTGAGGGATGGATCTGTCTCCATATGTCCCTTCATGTCATAGCATCTCTGCTTTCAGATGCCTTGAGCAAGCCCTCTGTAGTCACACGACTGCTCTCTCGAAACTCCATTTCTGACGGCGTATTTGAGCTGCATCTGACCATCCTGCAGCAGCATCTGACTACACCAGCAACAGTGCAAATCTGCAGACCTTAGGGGAGTGCTTATGTGCCACTCATAAATATTGTCTGCCCTGGCAATGAATGGGCTGCTGTGGCAAGGTATGCCCTGAGTCAGGAGAAGGAACGGCCCTGCGTCATCCCGTACTACATCACAGAAATTTCCTTGGGTGGTGGCGACGCAGGAGAAAGTTGGCTCCACTCACCTTTCAACAGCCACCTAATTTTGCCTAGAGCAAAATTCAAAGCAAATTTGGAAGCCTCACCTCAGACAGAGACACTGGAGGAATTTCAAGTCAGGAGAGTTTCAAAGAAGACCAGCAAAATTTGGGAGTGGGGTTTCATGTATCCCTATGTGAAAAGGTGTATGGGTGCATCTAAATTTGGAGCAATGCCTTGCCCATCCCTCCCCAGTACAATAGGGTCCATATAGCCATGATGCAGGCAGCCAAGTCCAAGCTGGTGGGATCTATTGTTCTAAATGGAAAAGAGCACATGGGTGAGAGGAGTTAACTCTTTCCTCGCCTTACTCCATTGCTTCAAGCCCTTTTCTCTCCAGCCTGGCTTATTTCCAGAGTTGGGTCTGGGTTGGGACAAAAGTGTTTCAAGCAACAGAGCACACGGAGGTATGATGGGGGAGGGATGGTTTTGCTTCTCTCACTCCCATGGAACAAATAGATTCCCCTCCCACATTTAACATGTCAATGGGGCAGACACATGCATAAAGAGACATGGCTGACCCACCAGGTCTAGTGTGACTTGGTGGTCCTTTTGTCCTCTTTCTTGAAGATACGTTACAGAAGTAGCCATTTGCCGCCATAATGAAAAAGAAGCCTTACATCACAAAGAAGCAGGTGTGATTTTGCAGCTCCTGCCAGCCTCTGAGGGCATCTGGCTGCCATGGGTGTTTTGGCAGCTGCTGGGCGAGGGGGTACCAGGGAAGAGTGCTGTGATGATGCCAGGCCACATAATGCCTTTTGCTAGGCAGTACCTGGGAGATTTGGATTGGCATCAGCCGCTTTGCTGTAATCTCTGATTTGGGCCCAGCCAGAGCTCACGAAAGGAGCAGGCAACCAGCTAGAATGGCACTGAGCTCACCAGCCACACCAAAGGCAATGGGAGCTAGTTCACCTGTGGCGCTGGCATAGCCTTAGACTTTAAGCCAAGGAGGCAGCAGCCGGGTCAATGCAAGGTTCAGCGCGCACTGTTGGCACTAAGTGAATGTTTAATAACAATGAAAGCAGTATGACCACAAGCAAAGGTCCGTCACACCTCACGGGACCTGCAGCTGTTCCTATGGGCAACAGCCAGAAGCCACAGCTGAGAGAGGGGGAACTGGCACTCTCCTCCATCTCTCGCTTGCCCAATGCTATCTGTCTTTCTCTTCCCCTCTTTTGTCCTCCTCCATCTGCCTGAATCCAGAGTTCAGAAAAGTCACTGGTTACTGTGGTAACACCTGCCCTCCCCCCAAAAAATATACTGCAGCTTAGCCAATAGAGCAAGGAATATCTCCCGCCCCCCTCCCACACACAAACAGAAAACACAAAACACACATGGACACATTAAAGCGCCCTTGGCAAATCTAGGAGCCCACCTGGCAGAGCCCGGGCTGAAAAATACTTCGATGTTTCCCATCCGTCTTATGCATGATAGGGCAGAACAACCCCTCCCCAGCCCCTCTAAAATCCCAGGAGGAGTGAGGGGGGGAAATCAAAATGAATCAAAGGGTAGGTGGATGGGGTGGGGGAGTACAGCAGCTATAAAGAAAGTGATAGAAGTGCATTAAAAGAAAGAGAAGTGGGAAAGGGAGTGGGGAGAAAGCAGGGGGGGGGGGAATGGAAAATGAAATAAATCCAGAGAGGCAAAGCAGAAAAGAAGGAGAAAGCAAGAAGCAGGGAAGTTGCTGGCGGAAGTGGCCCTGCTATTCCTGAGGCCGTGTTGGGCCCTGGTCCAGCCTCGCTCTGGACCATTGTTTCCCTGCCCGGCCCCCCAAGTCCAAGTTCATCTGGGTGTGACATCATGTCTCGTTGCTCGGGGAAACCAGACGGGCCAGACGTGACATTGGTTATGGGATGGGAAGGGGAACAGATCCCATTCCTGCTCTGCTCCAGCTCTTTTGCTCACCGCCAGGGAGCAACGAAGGCTGGGAGGAACGAAAGGCAGACCAAACCTCAGAGCAATCTTGTGAGAGAGGGCAGGCTGGATCAGTGTGTGTGTGTGTGTGCACGCTAAAGCAGATTTGCTCCAATTCTGCTTCACACAGCCGTTCTCTGCTGCTCTCTACCCTTCATGTCTGCGGCACATTCCCCTCCTTTGCTTTCTGATCATGGTAGTGGCAGGGTTGAAACATTCCTAAATAATATGACACACCAGCTTGATCATTTTTCGCTGCAGAACCAGTGCTCGTTTGTTACTTAGTTGTTATGGGGTATCCCCGCAGATAGCATCTCTGCTGCAGGGAAACCACAACCTCCCAGCAATAAAACTGTTGATAGAAAAAGGTGGTTCCCCTCCCTTCTCCAGCTATCTCCCATATTTCAATTCAGAGTGGCTGGTGGTACTGTGGCTGCATGAGTGCAATGGGCAGGATATTATTAGGTCAAGCAATAAACGCCTTCGTACTTCCCACCTGCAACATGCTCACTTTGAGAACTTTTGAAAGTTCTTTTCCACCCTGATGATCAGCATCCTGATTTTGTAGCCTTTCAAAATTTGTTGGAAAACTGCTGAAACTCTTTCCCCTAGCCTGGTTAAGTAAAGGTAAAGGTACCCCTGCCCGTACGGGCCAGTCTTGCCAGACTCTAGGGTTGTGCGCTCATCTCACTCTATAGGCCGGGAGCCAGCGCTGTCCGCAGACACTTCCGGGTCACGTGGCCAGCATGACAAGCTGCATCTGGTGAGCCAGCGCAGCACACGGAACGCTGTTTACCTTCCCGCTGGTAAGCGGTCCCTATTTATCTACTTGCACCCGAGGGTGCTTTCGAACTGCTAGGTTGGCAGGCGCTGGGACCGAGCCTGGTTAGCAATCCCCAATTGTGGAGGGGAAAAGTCCGTTTCCCCCTTTTAGTTCTTTCCATGATGGGCACTCCCAGCTCTCCCATACATCTACCAGGGAACATATTGTGCCACTAGTGTTGGAGCCAAGTGGCGGCTCCTTTAATAACAAGGGGAGCACATTTTCACACATGGGGCTTTGATTGGCTTCGGCTTAAATCCAAAACTAGGTATAATGCCTGGTCTGCATATTCTATTTTGCTTGTATAACACCTATTCCCGTGGCACAAACAGGGCAAGACAAGCTCAGAGATACATTTAAAGCCCCATGAGAGGAACATAGACTCATCAGCCCCTCCACATCTTCCCCCAAGAGCCTTCTGCTCTGCTGTAGAGAGCAGCTACACGGAAAACTATTGGGAACCAAACTCCAGCCCAAGAACAGGAACGGGCAGCAGAGCCACCAAAGTGCAGCATAGATGCTCTCTGCACAGTGGTGTAGTCTGTCCATGAGTGCTACACAACTGGTCCAGACATGGAATCTTCAACACCTCACTGATTCCTCTGAAATGCTGGACATATCCTTTCACTGCTGTCTCTCCTCCGTAGGCCCTTGAGAGGCGGATTTATTTAGGGGAGCGTGACGGGCTTGGTTGCACGGGACGCAGAGCCTTGGGGGCACCGCAACTATGATGTAGAATGGGGACTAGAGGTGGGCAAGGGGGAGGGCTCCGAATTTTGGCGTCACCCAGGGTGCTGCTGCAATTTGAAACCCCAAGGTCCACCACTGCTCCCTTCTCCACTTCAGTACTTTCCACAATAACTGATTGGCTGGTCAGTAAAGTAATTAAGTTGCTCAGATGGCAATGCCACCTCCTAGCTGACTCCAGGCTCCTATGCCTTTATCACTTCCACGGGAGGCATCAAGGAACCAGTCAGATTTTCCTCCCTGCCTTGGAATCCTGCAAGGTTGCTGAGCAGCTCCCCCACCGTGCAAGGAGGGTGAAGCAGAAGCAACCCAAAGGGCAAGCGAGAAGGGCTTTGTGGCCTAAAAGGAGGTGGCCATTTTAAAGTAGGGAAATGATAATGGGGCAAAGAAGGTCAGTGTGGGCCAGTGTCACAATAGCTGGGCTCCTCATGAATTACCGTATTTTTCGCTCTATAACACGCACCTGACCATAACACGCACATAGTTTTTAGAGGAGGAAAACAAGAAAAAAAATTCTGAATGAAACAGTGGATGTATCATTTTTGGCTTCATGTGCAGGAAGCAGGTTTGGACTCTGTTGCATTTGAGCAACACGCACCGAAAACAGGAGAGGAGCAGTCCCAGAGCAGAATGCAGTAAACATCAGCCTCCCTCTCGCTCCTTACGCGTGATCGATTTTTGCCCCTGCACTCGGGCCAGTCAGTCCAGGGACCACACATTCGCTCAATAACACGCAAGACATTTCCCTTACTTTTTTAGGAGGAAAAATGTGAGTGTTATAGAGAGAAAAATACGGTATTTATTTTACTCTTGTTCACTGTGCAATCCTCGCCTGCCCCCGCAAAAAAAGTATCTCTTATAGATTGTTCTTACTTCCCAATCATGTAAGACTGGGCTCACTGCTGTTTCACATTACAGTGGTACCTCCGGTTGCAGACGGGATCCATTCCGGAGCTCCGGTTGGATCCCAAGGTTTCTGCAACTGGAGGTGCCCATTCTGCGCATGTGTGAGGCATGGTAGAGCACTTCTGCGCATGTGTGCGCAGTGAAACCTGGAAAAACACTTCCAGGTTTGCTACGTACGTATCCTGAAGGATATGTAACCAGAGGTGATCGTAAGTAGAGGTACCACTGTACACTTCTGCATAGAAAATATTTCCATGCAGGAAGCAACACAAATAAAACCTGTATCTCCATCATCACATTCATTTGAATGTTTATGAGGATGAGGAAATGACAACTTGCTGGCACATGTACATGGCTTGCTCACTCAGGTATGCACTCACCACAACTGATGACCTACACCTTTACCGAAACACTTCCAAGTAGAGAAAAAGTATAGATCATCATGAGGAGTGCACGTGTGTCTATTTCACTAAGTGTACATGCCAGGAATTTGCTGTTTCCCAACCTGTGTAGTGATATCTATGTGACAACCTATATGTGGGTCTTGCATTTTTTCCTGCATAGAAACCTTTTCCAAGTGAAAATGTAATGTGAAGCGGCCCAGAGCCCCATCTCATAGGGTGGTGAGAGAACAAATGTGTAGGCAAGGACTATTATGTGGGAAGTCTTGAGAGACCTGGATGGAGACACAGTGACCTGCCCAAGACCACCTTATGAACTTCCTGGTTGAGCAAACTGATATGTCTTCTCCACCCAAATCCAACGCCCTTTCCACTGAACTACAATCAAACTTGGGAGTCCTGCTTTCAGATTCTGTCTCAGTTGCAGACTTATAAGCCAAAAACACACTCTATTTGAGGGCCCATCCACACCTCCTTTTGTGCTGTGTTTCTAGGCACAAGTCTGGGCTTTGCAAGTCTGTGTCTCAGTGGGTGTTTTTTTTTGTCCTGGCACTTTCCCTGGGAAAACCCGTGTTTTACTGGTGAATCAGAGAAAACAGCTATTAAGTTTTCTGTGGGTTGCTGCTTGCTCCAATTGAGCAGTAAAGGACAAGTTTTCTCAGGGGAAGTGCTAGGACAAAAACAAAAAACACTCAGCCACGGACCTGGAAAGCACCAACTTGTGCCTAGAAAGCACAAAGCAAAGTTAAGTGTGGATGAGTCCTGATCCTCAGTTTCCTGTTTGGAAAACGTAGGCCTGTAACTGATGTTACAGAGTTGGCTGCAAAAGCATCAGATCTAGATAATGCCAAAGGTAATTCTGGCATTGGAAAGGGGCTTGATGACATACCTACCAACAGAACCCTGGAGTCCTGGTGTTCGATTTCATTTTGTATTCTACCTACTAAACTCTGTGTTATCCCCACCATTCAAACGAAAGCCGAGAAGACCCACGTGCTAGCTGCCTTTCCTTCTCATTTGTGCTTTTGCTCTATTTACAGGGGAGCCTTTGGTACTGGATGCAATGCATGTTGGAGCAGAAGGGTCTCAGCAGACGTGTAGGTGTCTGGCCCTGACCCTCATCCCATCCATCCCTTTAGCAGAACCACGTCCATCAACCCGCCCAACCTCCCCCACACATTGCAAGCTACATTTGGGCTACAGCCACATACAACCCCTGTGAAACTGGCCCCCCTACCTGAGATTGCTGGGGGATGTTTAGAAAGTTGCCGTCCCGGGGTCCGATGCCGACAAACCGGTTGGCAGAGGAGGAGGAGCCTGGCGCTGAGAATGCTGGAGGGGAAAGAGATGTGAGGCCGTTAGGGCCACTGGGAGAGGCTGATGGCATTGATGGTGGTCATGTCAGATGAAGGCCTGCCAGATGAGGTTCGAGACAGAAAAAAATCTAAAGAGAGACTGGGCACAACTCCTCCCACCCTCCCCAGAACAGGATAGCCACCTACAGGTTGTGAGTGCGACCTGCTGTGAAGAGGGACAAAGCTCGCTGCTTGAGAGATGGGGGTTATGGGCACTGACAGATTTGGCCAGCTTGACTGCACACACTACTCAGCAGCTCCCTGAGGGAGCAACTGTTTCTAGAGAGGCCTCAGTGAAGCCACACATCCCAGCAACCTCTGTGGCATTTCAAGGGATCCTTGGATGCTCCTCTTCGATCAGGCGGTGCAGTCTTGTGTGAGCTTGGCCTGGATTGGGATGGAAGTAAGGGAGACTCTGGCCATCGTTCCACAGCCTTTGCTTCGCTTGAGCATGCTCGCTCTCCCCCTCTCTCTCATGGCCCAACATCTAAATCTCCTGGCCTAGTTTTCCCTTTGACCCTAGAGGTTGCCAGGGCTTCTGAGCTCAAGAGTCCTATTAGCAGCCTGAGACAAGCCTCCTGCCCAATGGCAGGGTGGATGGCATCCCCAAACATGCCCTTGTATGGGTCTGCCAGGAGATGGAGTCCCGTGGTCTGCGTGCCTCCCCTGGGCATAATGCTGTGTGCCAGAAATAACTGAGCTCAGTCCTTTGGTATTTAGTGTGGTGGCAGAGGAGGGCAAAGCTCTGAGGGAGGCTGAGTGAGGGGCAGGGAACAGGCATGGGAGATTCCCCCACCCTAAAGTACAACTCCAGTATGGAAACCAGTCTGGGCCAAACTTTGCTTATGAGATTGCGAGAGGTTCTGCAATCACATGCTAACATGCATGCGCATGTATATGAGAACCCAGTGTGGCATTTCGTCTTCATACCCAGCCTCTAACAGCCAATACCCCTGGTTTCCCTAAGAGGGTTTTCTCTGCTGCTCATCTTTTTAGGAGCTTAGCAGGGAGCCAGCAGCTCTTCCTTGGTGAGTTTAAGGCCTGGCTTCCAGCGGCGATTGCAGGAATTGGTAGCAAGAAGAAAAAGGTTCCCCCTGTGCTCCCTTGCCCACAATGTAACACTGGAAGAAGCACCTTGTGCCAGCCTCCAGCTACCACATAGAGCTGAGCTGCACCATCAGCAGACTCATGTGGGATATCTGTTGCGGGACTGTAGTGCTTCAGGCTGTGGGTAGAGGGCTGGATATTTTAATGTTCCTCCTCTTCAAATAAATAAATAAATACACACACACATACACAAAATGAGCAAGTGAAAAAAGAAAGATAATGGTTCAGTCTTCTTGCTGACATGCTGATTTTGAACATAAGGGAGGGAGGTGATTGGTGGTTGTTGTTTTTCACATAAGGGAGTATTCAAGCATTCATTCAATTTAAGGCTCATAACAACAGCAGCAGGAACAACAAGAGACTGTTTAGCCTACTGGTTAGAGTGTTGAACTTTGACCTGTGTGACCTGGGTTCAAATCACTACTCCAGTCATGAAACTCCCTAGTTGACCTTGGACTAGTCAGTCCCTGCTCAGCATTCCACCTACCTCACAGGACTGTTGTGAGGATAAAATGGAGAGGGATCTGTGGGTCACCTTGAGCTCATTGGAGGAAAGGAAGGATATAAGTGTAATGAACAATTAATCGAATAAATAAATTCAGTTCCCACGCTTGCGGTCTGACAGGGTTCAGGCCAGCACCAGCACTTTACGCTGAGTCTACTGATCATGTGGACTAGCTCTTAGTACCCGGAGGTGCCTGGTCTCAACCTCACAGAGAACCACAGTGCCTCACATACTTCCTGACTTTTTTTTTTTTGTTAGCCCTCCTAAACAATGGGAAAGGTAGCAACCCAGACATACGAGACTAGAGCATCTCCTGCCATGCCTACAACCTGTTCGCCACTCACATCCCCCACCCCCTACAGCACCACCATCAATTTAATGGAGAATATGAACAGCGTGGGAGTGAGCAATGCCATGAGCACAGATGTAGAAAAGGAGAAATAAAAGGAAAAAGGAAAAGAAAGGGAAGGAGAGAAAACAAAAGGAAAATGGAAGTGGTAGCCGATCCTTTCTCCCAAGGGGCCTCACCTAAGCCAAGGAAGTTCGAGAGTCAACTACTTCATAATGGGAGAAGCCGGGGATCCTGGCACCCCCCGCCTCAAATAGATCTGGTGGGCCCACCACGTCCCCCAAAGATGAGAACAGAACCAGGCATCCTGGCTCACAACCATTGCCAGCACCCTGAGTCATATAACACAGCTGCCCTCCTGAAGGTGGGACAGTCAAATGTCTGGCCTCTCGTTTCTCACAAAACACTGGGGACATTCTCAGGGAATCCTAGTTCCCAACTTTGCCTCCGCACCCCTGCAGGCAGACGCTCTCCAGGAAAAAAGCACAGACCACAACTTAGGGCATGACAGGAAGCTTGCTATGGATCTCAATGGAAGTTGATTTTTCAGGCACCAGATGAACACCTGTAAACACAACCCTCCCTCGTATTATGAAAAGCAAAACACCTAGCAGTAATTCTTCTTCTCAGAATTTAATATGTGCAGTTGATTTTCCGTCCCTTAAAAAAAGAAGAAGGAACCAACAAAAAAACCCAAAACCCAACCCTACCCAGGAGCCACCATGACAACCAACAACTTAATGAATAATAATAATAAAAAATTAAAGGTGTCGGAGCTTGGCAGCCTACTGCATCTTTAAACGCTGGGGGATGGGATGGAAGGTGGGAGGGTTTGATGGCAGCTGGGGAAGGGATCAGATGGGGTGTTTCAACCTTTAAAACAAGTATAAAGCACAAGACTTGATGATGACGACATGGTGCCCCCAAGCCCACCCTTTCACTCTCTCTGCTGCTTGTCCCCCTCTCACCCCTCCGCTCGGCTCTCTCTAACGCTCTGCATCCCTTTCTTCTCTGAGGTGCCTCTTCCTTCCGCCTCTGCCACACCTGTGTGCATTCTTCTCTGCTTCTCCTTCTTTGCCCTTCCTCGGCTCCTCTTTCCTCCTGCCCACTACGTCCTTTCTGCCCTGCTCAACCCCTAGCGAAGGGGTTGGTGGTGTGTGAGTGGGTGGGGAAGAGGTGGGTTTTTATTTTGCTTCGCTCGGTGGTTTGGGTTACGCTTGGGTCCACTTACAGGGTGACGTTGGTGTCGGCGCTCCGCCCTCTGGGTTAGTGCTGGTGGATTTTGTATCAGGCATTGGAAGGGGCACTGGTCTGGCCACAGGTGGTGGCGGCGGCAGCAAAAATGACCCCGTGACTTTGCCCTGGCCGCTACCGTTAGGCTGCGAACAACATAAATACAGTGATGCGTGAACGAGACAAGGCAACGTTAAAGATGCAGTATCTGCTGCTGGCGGCTCTTAGGGTGTTTTTGTTTGTTTTGTTTTTCAAGAGGGAAGGTCTTTTTCTCCCCCGTCTTCTTTTTAAAAAATCATATTGTGAACTTAAATCTTCCCCTTGCCTCCCTCAAACTCTCCCTATCTCCTAACTTTCAAGCACGTACATTCTCCTTGCTTGCCACAAGAGACTCAGGCAGCCTTAATCATCATCCAGGGGCTCCCTGTGTTCCTGCTCGACTGGCAGTCTGAACAAGGATTCTTCCACTCTGATGGCAAGGCATTAAAACCACAGTTTTGACTGGAATTATGTCTTACCGCATATCACTGCAAGCTGCTGTTGTCAAAGGATACAGCTCAGTAATTAGCAATTGAATGTGCTCTCCGTTGGCCATCCTGAGGCCTGGCTGGAATGGCATTGTAGCCCTAAGACAGCCCATCAACTAGGGCAGCTTGTGACTCAATATGGCTGCCCAAAGAGAATGACTGTAGTAATATGTGACTTAGTACTGAGAGGATACTTTTTGACTCGCTTTAGCTTTCCGTCTGTAGGCTTTGGATCCTCCTAACAATGTAGGCTTAAAGGACCATATGTACATTTTGCTCACAAAGAACCACGAGCTGATAAAATGCCTCTGTGTACATACAAGATTTCTCGTCTCCATCTCAGCAAATGCTAAACACGTCTGCAAAAATCAAGTATCTGGTCCTTAGAAAGTGTTGTGAGATTCTGTAGCAGCCATCTAGGTCCACCTTCTAGATTTGGAACCTGTAGCATCTAAATTTTAGCACTAAGCCACAGAAAGAGAAATCTTAGACGCCTTTTAAATAATAAAGAAACCCTGAAATTCAGTTACGTCACAGAGCTGGTGAGCTGGGGATACAAGAAAACACCTCATGTATCACAAATCTAATTTCAGCAGCTTTGGAAAAACTGTTTTCCCAGCTCAGTTTTTCCCTGCCATGTGCATGTATCAAGAAGTGAAGGAATGGTGGTTATAGGGCCCCATATGTCAAGACTTATGACAAGTCCGTGGAAAGAGCATGGGATTCCTGGGTAGGACTTAAATCAGAGGGGGGGAAACGGCTTTATGTTTTGAAGGTGTGGCATCTGAAGTGATTTTATTGGTTCCTTACTTTTGTTAGCCCTGAAAAGAAACAGTGGCCATTGCTCCCTTCTTCAGCAACCATAGTGAATGGACCCCCCTGAATCTCTTCTGCAACCCACCAACTTTATTTCCTTGGATTTCTTGATCTTCCTACACCATCAGATTCTCTAATCTGGCTGAGGTCCTAGCAGGATTCAAGGGATGACCATCTTCATTCTGCATGGGTGTCCAATGCTATGTGCTCTCAGTGAAGCAGGAGCCAACATGGGATACAAGGATTACGTAGACCAAGGATTACGTGGATGAGCCATCACAAGCCTTTTCATGGCGACGCCTTGGCTTTCAGTTTTGCCAGTGTTTCTATTGCGTGATCTCTGTAGCAGTTTCACTGCTACTCCAGATGCTCTGGTGAATGGTGGAGACTCTTGGCTAAACCAGAACAGTTAAATCTGACTTGGAAACTATGCTAGGTTTGACCAAAGACAAAAGGTGCTGGGGAACCTTAGAAACTTAGCAGCTTGGCTTGGTCTTTTTGCTGCCTTGTGGCAACATGGCTACTCTTCCAAAATATTTCTTGGTAGGCTAAAGGCTCTTTGGAGCTTGTGCCAGCTGGGTTGCTTCCACACTAGCCCTTTATTCTGAAATTGCCATTCTTTGTTGACCTTTTAAAAACAAGGAGTCCACGTAATATTGTTGCCAAATCCTTGCTTCCCAGCACCGTCTGTGAAGCCATCCTGAGTTTTTCAAACCTAATATACAGCCATTTTTATGATGTAAAAGGTAATTGTAGCACCATGCTTGACAGGCAAGGTGCTACTGATGTGTTTAAGGGATACTGTGCTTTTAATCAAAAGCTTCTTGTTTGTAGATTCAGTCATTGCTTTGTTTTCAGTGCAGCTGTGGGATAGTAAGGAACTATCCCTTTACTCAGCTTCTGTTTCCTGTGATTTACACTACTGATTTACTTGCATTATTTTTTCTTTTCTTTCTGAGGGCAAAATATTGTTATTCTGCTATAAAGCAAAGAAAAGGAGAGGGGGGAAATAGAAGGAAACCAGTATTTTAAAGCACACTTACTCTGCAGGAAATAGAAGCTGATTAATTATGGGGCAATTCACCACCAAACAAGAAGTGATAAAATGGGCAAAATATACAAGGATGATACTTTTAATTAGCATTATAGGGGAACATCTGCTCGATGTGACTGACTTGTGCATAAATAGCATTATAGAAGAATCTTGATCATAGGATAGGGCATTGCTGGTTAACATTATAGTATATCAATTGGCAGTTCAGTTTCAGTTTCCCTTCTAGGAAATGATGGTAAAGCCGAGGTCTAGTATGGAAGCAACTTTGGTCCAATATCTTCATTAAAAGGAGGCTTAAAGATGAAGAACATTTCTCTTCCAATATTCTTCTTAGCCTGCAAAACTTGTACTGGGCTGATGCATTACAGGATGTGGGAGGCAATGCTGCATCTCATCGCAATCCTGCTTCCTCACATGCCAGTCAGAAGGGCTCACTTTGACTACCTCTGAGGTGAAACTTATCACCTAAAGCATATTTTCTAGTACAAACCAAGTACTTGAGGTACATTTCAAACCTTCGTCTCAGAAGGTCCCACTTTCTGAAGCCCATGGTGCACGGAAAAGTTCCATCTTCTAGGTACATGAATTCTTCTGCCATCTAACAATTCTGCAAAACCTGACATCTCTGAATCCTGCCACTCTGTAACCTTCACCAATTCCACAGAGGTTCCACATTCTAGCATGTGCTCAGTACAGCCCTCTGGGATCTCCTCCTGTACCACAGAATCCAGAATACTCCAGGTTTTAGAACACTCAAAGCCCTTCAGAAATATATCCTATGAAAAGAGGGTGGCAGATAGGAGAGGGGCAAGAAAATGGGGCAACGGGGGGAAAAGCCTGTCTGGGCCATACAGACATGCGCCCTCCCTTTGGAGGTCATGTCCCACACAAGGCGGAATGACAAGCAGAAAAGAAGCCCGTCTTCTGAATAAATTATATTCCTCTTAACCACCCTCCAAAGCAAGCTCCAATATCCTTGGTGCCCTCGGGGCAGTTCTCCCTAGCCTGAACGTTGTAACTTGGAACACTGTCTATTTTCAGAGGCCAATGTCAGCTGCCAAGAGCAAGCCAGTGTCAGTCAGACCGTTCCTTCGAGAGAAAAAGACCCCGTTTCTTCCAGACCCAGGGGCCTTGGTAATCCTGCCTCCTGTGCTACTGACTTCCATGTGCCCTAGGCAAGCAGGCAGACAGGCAGACAGGCAGAGGGAGGGAGGGAGACAGAGAGGGGCAGGAGGTGGAGAAGGGTTGTAGGGTGGGGGTTTCTGGTTGGACAGGCCGGCATCCCTGGGCTGAGGTGCATGGCTCTTACCTGCCCGGAGCCCTGGCCTGAGCCGTCCGAGCATACAAACTGCACAAATTCCTTCAGCGAGTCCTGGCCGTGGTGGTGGTGGTAGCGGATGGTCGGGTGTGTGAAGTAGGGGCTGGACTGCTGGATGATGGAGGTTGATGGGAAGTGCAGGGCCGAGGCTGTGGCACGGGGGCTTCCTGGAGAGTGTAAGGACAGATGGACAGAAGCAGAGAGAGAGAGAGAGACAGAGAGAGAGAGACAGAGAGAGAGAGAGGGAAGGGGGGACAGAAAGAGATGTCAGTAACAACCCCATGCCATGCTGCTTCCATTCTACACAGCCCAACTGATGCTTATACCTCAACAGAAACACCCACCCCGACATCCTTGCTATAAGGGGAAGGGGCGCCATTTTGGCTCATTTGTTGGAATCGAGGGCTCCCTCAACCCTGGCAGGGTGAGGAAACTGCTCTTTTCTCACAAGAGCACAGGTGGGTGAGAATTTGCAAAGATGTGAAAGCAGATGCAGAGGGATCTGAGCAGGGCATGCCACACACCTGTGTGTGTTACGCATCTTGCGTGTCTTCCACATCCGTGCATGTTTACCTATAAGCATGCAATAAGTGTGTGTGTCTCTCTGTCTGTTTCTCTCTCTCCATATATATACCACACACACACACACACACATACATACATACATACAAACAAACAAACACACACACACACAGCAGGCATTGAGGGGGTACCTTTGCTTATGTGCATGTATCCCCCATCATATTTTGTGACAAGATGTTGAAGTCCTCTGCCTTAAATCTATATTTTTTACACAATTGTTTTAATCAACGCCACCGCCACCCATCATCAAAATAAAGTACAAGCACAGGGAGCTACATTTTTAAAATATTCATCTACAATTACATGCCCTCTCCCATCCTTTTATGCCCTTTATTGTTTCCCCTCCTCCTCCCCGCATCTAATTTAAGATTATTAGCTCATTAGGACAAGGACTTGTCTTATTCCACTTGCATTGCATTGCACATTGGAGGCACTTTACAAATAAATATAATGACAATAACACCTAACTTTCCCCCAAGCACACGAGGGCAAAAGGGCAAGACATACTCCTCTCCTTGGGAATAACTGGAACATTAGTAACTAACAGGGAAATGGGGAAGGGGAGTCAGAAAAGGAACCAGCTGTTGTGGACTGGGGATTGACTCTCCTGTGTGGCTGAAGTTCCTCCTACACACTGATACACAACTAGACAGATGGTGGAACAGGGAATACGGATGATAGCAAGGCAGTTACACAGAATAACTGGCTGCTGGCTGCATTGGGCAGGTAGAATCATGGCAGGAAACTTGTTCTCTGTGGCAGCTAAATGCAAAGGAAGATGGAATGGGCTAAAATGAAAGGTGGCAGGATTAATGTTATTTTAAATTGAACAAAGAAATTGCAACAAAACTCAGCCAATGAAGGCTGCTCTCAAAGGTGATTAGGGAGCAACATCAATGGAAAAAGCAGCAGCATAAAAGTAGGGATCTGTTCATGAGAAATCTCAGCTTAGGGATGCAATTTTTGAAAATCTTGATGTTGAGCTTATCTGCACGAATCTTTTCTAATTCTCGTGTCGCTTCTTGATCACAATGAAAAGCGAGTTAATTCTTTATCAGTTCTGCTAGAAATACAAACATTTATTGCATATTATATGCATTATTATACACATTATTGTATGTATATGTTGTATATACATGTTGTATATATGTATATGTTGTATATATTGTATACATATATGCGTGTATATGGACACACACAAAATTATCCTGCAGAAATGAAGTCCGACTCTTTTATACATATTGTATGCATAATCTACATATTTTTGTGTATAATTGTGCATATAATTATTCAGATGTTAAAAAGCAGAACTACCGAAAATGCACAAGCAGCTCAGTTGCAAGTGGGTGCTTGCAAGAGGCAGTCCAAGAGGAGCATGGCTCCATCAGGTCAGAAATGCCATATTCAGTGTCTAAATATGTTTAAAACAAATTTATCTTCTACTGAGCATTTTGCAGTTCCTGATCAGCAGACAAAACAGCTTCAAAGGGTTGACTGAATAGGACTATGGAAAAGATTTGTCCTGCCACAATACTGAGAGTATCATTACAGCCGGATTGTCCCCTGCAATCTTTTAAAAATACTTCTGGGGGATCATATACAATTTAAGCTACAATCCTATACACACTTACCTGGAAGCAGATTCCACACCCGGATTTACTTCTGAGTAGGCATGTATAGGATTGTAATTGTTAGGCAATTACAAGCCAATTTCAAACTTGCCAGTCCTGTGCAATGTGGTTGAGCAACAGTGGTGGGAGAACTCCAGGGATTGGGAACACAAAAAAATAAAAATATTTCATCATCTCAGAGGGTGATAACTGCTAGAGAACAAGGCAGGGTGTGCTTACTGGCCAGTTCTCTGCACAGGGAGATCCACCAAACTACATATGTCCTTCACTTCAAGCTTCATTGTTATGCAAAAATTATGTGACTGTTTCACCCAACATTTTCTTTTTCAATTAAATGTTGGGGGAAGGTGTTTTAACTCATCCTCCTCTCATACAGTAGCTGGGGGATATTTTTTATTTGGAAAATGGGATGGGGCAGGACATTGTTGCTCAGCTAAACTGGTAGCCCCCCACAGCTGCATTTCATTAAAAGAGAACAACTTGGGAAATTCAGTTCCGTACTGGATCCTCTGCATAAAAGGAAGCCTGGCCCTTCGTTTCTGTTGACAACTCATTCCCTGAGTCTTTCCCAAAAAATTCCATGGCCCAATGTTTAATGCATTCTTTGGTTTGTTTGCTTTTTAAAAAATGTATGTTTTGTACTATTTCATAAATTAAAATATTGGGGTTTTTATAAATATTTTCTGTGTGTTGTGTTTGAGTATTTCTGTAAATAGAATCAGTGACTTTCTGCTATCCGGAAGCTTTTAAAAAGTTTACTGACAACTTCACACACTGCTGCATTCCTTCGAGTCACTACTCCTGCGTGTTCAGAAGGAGGAGGAAATGTGCTGTCCAGCAGCAACCAGGTCCAAGGCAAGATCCCACTCCCCTTGTTCTGAAGTGCTGGTACAGCAACTGCCTCCATGTCGGGATTGAATTAATCTCAATTTATCTAATCTTGCCCTATTAAGTAAGATGCGCCTCTGGGGTCTGAGAGAAGGAGGAAAAGAGAGAAATCAATCTGGTTATATCACTGCTGCAGTTAGACCATCACCACAGTAATGTTCTACCACCGAGTTCACACACAACTGATGGTATGTTTGCAGTAAGACTGAGCCTTGTGCAAAACACCCCTGAAATCCAAGGCAAGATCCAAGGTGTAAAAAGGCAGGCAATTTAAAAATGTCTTAGGGTTGGGTGTGCAGCTTCAGGGTAGTCTACTTAAACCTGCTTACTCTGTTCCTCGCCTGACCACTCCACACTAAGAGGTGCTGTCATCCTATTCCGATACACCTTCCTCTCTCTACACACATACACACACTACAGTCCTGTGCAACATACACTACGGCACAACTAAACATTACAGTACATTACATAAACCCACCATTCAAACACAAATCACAGCACCCTCCTAAAATGCATAAAACATACAAGAGCTGCTACTGAACTGGTTGTTTCCGATCTTGACAATTCAAAAAAGTTATTCCTACATATATGACCATTCACATGCTAGCAACGAACAGTCTTTATGCTACTCTGCCATCTGCTGCTTTGCATGTTATTGCTGTCATTTTTACTGCATACATTTTATAATTTTTGTTGCGTTACTGTATTTCTATTTTTAATTGTAAAGGCAGCCTGGGAAGGTTTCACTGAAGGGTGGTGTATAAATAACTAAAGTAAGTAAATAAATTTTGGACGTGAAATTAGTGCGGGAAATCAGTCTCTAAGCAGACACTTAGAATACACTGCAAGTAATTTTTGCTTTGAAAATATAGATTTCTAAGAAAGGTACTGAAAATTTGCCTATGTCACCTTCCCTTCAGTGGGGCTTACAACTCCATAGCAGTTGTTCTTTTAATCTGGGGGTAGAAAGCTAATTTGCGGGGTGGGGTGAGGTGGAGGAAATGCAACATACAAACCTGAGTGTACCTTGATGTCCTACTTTGTGGTGTCTGTTAGAATTTCATATTTAACACCCCAATGGATGTTCTACATGTGTTTTTCCAGATATTTAAATCTAAACCCAATTAATTCTGGACACTCTTTTTCCATAGGGTTCTCATAGAAGCATACGAAACTGCTGTATGTCAAACCAGAACATCTAGTCCACTACAGTCATCTTTGACTCGATGTTGCCCAAGTCGATCCGGATTAATGGAGCAAGAAAACTTGGTAAAAACCCCATCCCACCAAAGTGATCCGTCTTCCAGGATGCATTATACAATCCTTGTGTTAAGCTGCCTCGGCAGCAGAAAGAGAAAGCAAGAAAATGAAAGAACAAAAGAAAGAGAGAGAGAAAGAGAGAGAGAGAGAGAGCAGGAGACCATTGCCAGAACCGACATGACTGAGAACTCTGACATGTCCTTTCAGGGAGACAGCTCTGTCCCTTGCCTCCCCACCCTTGCCCACAATCCACCCATTCCCCCCCCTAAGAAAATGGCTTTGTTCTCACCTGGTCTGACTCCTGCTAGGACAGGCAGCGGGTGATGGGTGAAAGCCATTCTCGGGGAGGTGGTGTGGGAGGACAGGGCACTGCAGAAATCCAGCTTCCCTGACTTCTTTAAAGAAGCCGGTCCTGGCAAGGAATCAGGGAGAAAGTGCATGGTTTAACAGATGGAAAGATGGATTAGTATTTAGCCGTGCTCTTTCATTCACTCTTGTGGACCAGCTCACAGTCTGAATAGGCCCCCTTTGCCAGGATTCAGCTGTTGCAGGTCTATGGGAAAGAGTGTGTGGGCAATGGCTGCTTTGAATTTCTTGTGTCTCTCTCTGCCTGCCAGTGAACAGGTCTACGAAGCAGTTGGCGTGTATGGTACATCTATCCTTCATAAAAGCTACCCGCTCACTGTATAACAACTCCACTGAAACAGTCAGATTCCAATATGTGTTGCAGAAGTGGTATATGCAAAGACATAGTCATCATATATTATTTCTACAGCACTTAACATGTACTAAGAGCTAAACTTTAACTATCTGTAGTGAGCCTGGAATGACAGCCCAGGGAGCAAATGAATTGCTTGCTTGCTGATCCCACTAGATCACCACGTTTTCCTTCCTCTCGAAGAGGGTTGGTTTCCTTCTTTGGCCTCCCATTGCTGCAAAACTATCCCTTGTCCTACAAGCACAGCTGAGATGGTTGTGCACCTCGCTTGTGTCACTCTGTAATCTGAGCAATGTGAACTAATCTGTGAAGAGTGTTTATTAGTGCTTTGAAAGACCTTGTTTCAGGGTATTTCCATGCAGGTTTAAAGTTAGATTTATAATGGGAATGAAATTTGCCAGAATGCTCATTTGCATGACAACTGCACCTCCTCCTCTGAAGGTATGCTCAGAGGTAAATGAAGCCTCACTCTCGCCCTGCAGTTCTGTGAGAGTAATGCCCACAGACCTGCCACTTGGGTGTTATTAGAATTTGTTTGAGAATTGCCTGCAAACCCAGAAATACAAGGATGTTTTAGTAACTCACAAGGGGTCTATCTTTTCCAAATGGATCAATTTTCAGAAATGACTCCTGCTGTTTCCCCACTGGTTGCACACGTTGTGATCTTATCCTGATGTATTTTTCAGGAGCTCTCAACCATTTCCCCCTTCCAAAACAACACAGAACCAATTGCATAGTCTGACTGATATGCACAATGCTTCTAAATCAGCCGTTTTTTCAAGGAATGTGCAGACTCAAGCTGCCCTCCTTTGTACCACTCTTAGTGAGAAACAGGATGCTACAGGTGGGAAGTCAGAGAGCAAAGTGCCATCCTTGATGTCCTCAACCCCAAGACTCACGGGCTGTCTCCCTCTCGGGAGATACGTGTGTGGCTGTGCAGGCCCTTAGAAACAAAGCAAAAAGACGCATGGAAGCCCACGGCTCCCCACTCTGCCATTCCACATAGCAGACCTCCTAGTCCTGGGTGGAAAGGAAGAGAGCAGGAAGGCGCATCCTGAATCTTCCCAGCCCAAAGTGATCTTTCAGCACTTGTACATGCTTACCACAGAAATATGTTATACCATTATGGACAAGGGAAGTCCTGCTAAAACCTGTCATGAAATCAGTACAAGGAAAACATACAGGCTGTGGGCTATATCTTCAAGTCCAGGCTACTTCCTCTGGGACTCAAGTATATGCAGACTGCAGGTTACATTCAGAGAACCACAGAGTACTTTGGCTAGTCCGGAATCAAGCTTAGTAATTTTTATTTTTTAAAAAAATATTCAGTATGTACCCCTTGTTTTTAATAAGAGTTAAGGCCCAAACTACATGAGATGCAAGAGTTCCATGTCAGATCTCCCAGTATCTTAATTTTTAAAACCTGAAAGCTGCTGTCGGGAGCTCCAGTTGTGAGTGGGGCTGTGCAATGAGATTTTTAATCTTTGCCCCGTTTTCCAGATCTAAAGCTGAAACTGGTACTAGCTCTGCAATGGGAAAATAGGGACGACTGGGGGCTTAAAAGTGGATTTGCAAAGTGCAAGGGGTTTTAATAGGTGGGTGCTCTGTCAATCATGTGACGGCATGAGATTGACAAGTGGGCAACCCCACCTAGCCGTCAAACTTGACTCACAGAGCAGATTCTGATAAGGATGTAGAAACTGGTCCCCTGTGACTTAACAACAGCAGCAAAATAGGAAGAGATTGTTGAAATGGTAGGGCACTGTTGGAGAAGAAAGGCTCTATATTTTCCAGCGACACATAAGTGCTGAGCAGTTAAAGCTCATGTAGTAAAATCCAGTAAGAACTTGTGGCAGCCACAAACACACATGCACATCTCAATCTAAGTAGCTCTGTTTAAATAGCTGGGTACCGCTATAAAAATGTGTTTGCCAGTGACAGAAACGCAACAGAAACAAGCATACAAAGAAACAAATGAGCAGGTGACACTATTCAGAAAAGACTTCAGCGACTAGAATGTAAATAGACAAAGACAACCCCAGTATCTTTTTTATTTATTTAAAAACTTGTTTTAAGAAAGCCATGTGAGTAGAAGGCAATTAAAAATAAATAAATACTTGGGGTTCACAAATGTCTGGATTTAAAGGGTGAGACGTGCCATTTCAATAGCAAAAATGCTGAGCAGTTTGGCCAATAAAATCCAGAATGTTTCCACTGGCCATTCATGCACAATGCTCCTGCTCTTAAGGTTCCATATATTACCTGTCCTCTCAATGGCAGCTGTTCAGTGAATAGAATCATCTCACTGTCGTATTTTTAGCTTGAGTATGTCTTACTTCAATATATACCACTGTCACCAGCACAAGTCTCCCGGTGAATCAAATTCCATGTCCAACAGGTTGGCATGTTAGCTTGTGCTTATCTTTCCTAGAGGACTATGTGTCTTAAGCTAACAAATTTATTGTGCTATTAGATTTCATGGACCACAGTCCACTTCAACAGTTGCATATGATGAAGTGAACTGCAGTCCATGAAAGCTTGCCATAATATGTTGGTTGGTCTTTAAGGTGCCACAATAGGTAAAGGTACCCCTGCCCGTACGGGCCAGTCTTGACAGACTCTAGGGTTGTGCGCTCATCTCACTCTAGAGGCCGGGAGCCAGCGCTGTCCGCAGACACTTCCGGGTCACGTGGCCAGCGTGACGAAGCTGCTCTGGCGAACCGGCACCAGAGCAGCACACGGAAACGCCGTTTACCTTCCCGCTATAAAGCGGTCCCTATTTATCTACTTGCACTTAAGGGTGCTTTCGAACTGCTAGGTGGGCAGGAGCTGGGACCGAACGACAGGAGCTCACCCCGCCGCAGGGATTCGAACCGCCGACCATGCGATCGGCAAGTCCTAGGCGCTGAGGTTTTACACAGGTACCACAATACTTCTTGTTCATTTTTCTTAGTAACTATTATTATGTCTCTGATTCCCACCCCACCCACCCCAAGCCGTGGGACTTATGTGATTTTTTTCAGTCAGACAAATAATAGTCAAAGAACAGAGCCGCTTCATGCTTTCTCTCTTTTTGGAACTGCTTTAGCAGAATTACATCCTACATACCAGAGTTTCTCAAATGATGGTATGCAGACCACCGGTGCCCTGTGGAAAGGTGGTGAAATAGTCAGTATCTGTATGTGGCCCATGACTTGTTTTATCTTTTTTGGACAACAGAGACTGAGGCTGATTTGACCTAGGGCTCATAATTTTCACAGTGGAACACTGGTGCAGCATACTGTTCCCCCAGTAAAAAATTACTAGTTAAAGGGGATTTCTTAGATGCCTGGCCTGGGCCAGTTTATTTCATAATATGCTGCTGGCAGTTTTTGATAACAATGTCAATGGGGGCAGAGAAGTTTAGTAAAATGCAAGTTCTGCATGTGCATTCTTTCTTAAACAAAACATATGTTAACTGTTAACGGAGACCCCCCAGCAATTATCCAGTTGTCTGTGGGATTGGGGTTGAGAACGATTGTTGTATGCTAATAATGAACCAGTTTTCTGAATGTGTATCCTTATGTAGTCAAAACAGCATCAGCCACTGGAGCTCCAGATATTAGCACGCTCCTGGAAATCTCAAAGACTGTGGCAGTAGAAACAACATACAAACAAACAACATACATACAAACAAACAAACAAACAAACAACCCATTGAAAACAGAGGAAGGGGGAATAGTCCAATGAGGACTGAACAAAGGACTACAGGACTGTTTGGGGCAGGAGGCACATACCAGAAGTGTGTATGTGGAAATGCAGTATCCTGGAAAACAGCATGGCTACCTGGCTAGAACTCTGAACTGGAGCACTCTATGCTGCATCATTTTGTTGCAGGTCCCACTGGAAAAGAATATTGCCCAGACCAAAAAAAGGCTGTTGCTTGGTCTTTGATGCTTCTGCCCTGAGACCACAATTGATCCAGTGGCTCCTTAATAACCACCACAAGCTGTTGTGTCTGCAGCCATCTTTGACTAGAACACCGAGAAATAAATTTGGGTGCGGAGTACTATGCAGTGTCAGAGTTGAGGTTCAGCGCTTAGAACTTTACCTCAAATCTCCTACTAATTACTTACTAATTAATTTCCTTGGAGTGTGTGCCCATTCTTGTAGTGCTGTGGGCTGACCCTGAATTTGCTGTCCAGAAGCATACAGCCATCCAGTAAACAGGGCTGTCAATTACAAAAAACCTCCCAATGTGTGTACGACAAGCAAACTGGCGACACACCCTTTGAATGGTGGGAGCTGCTATACTGCCGCTAAGGGAGATGGGCCATGGTTTTCATGTTTGCTGCTGCTTCTGTAATCCAGCACAATCTGGCACTTCAGCAGCAGGCAAGGGGGCCTGGGAGAGAAAAGCCCCCAGCCTGTTATCTCATGCCAGCTGCCTAACACCTGATACCTGAGCACAGGGATGGGGAGGGGGGCTGCCAGCCAGCTGTGAACACCTGTCCCTGTCAGACGGCTGGATGGTCTCTCCAGCTGTTCACACAAGCCCTGCAGCTGCGCTGCTTAATTGGCGATTTGTTGAGATGGCTGGGAACAAAACTCAACAAGACAAAGGAGGAGGGGGGAGAGGAGAGAGAGAAAGAGGGGGAATGCATATGAATACAACCTGTTCCACAGCCTTGAGGCTTCTAAGGGGGAGGAGACACCTTTGGGATCATATCATCTAAGCGCAGCACAGGATGATGTGACAGGATTACAAATGCATGACTAAAAGCCTAATCTAGAGCAGCCCCCAGGTGCAAAGTACATTCACTCCCCACAGTTCCGCTGCACAACCCTATCCTATCGAATGCGCTGCAAACAGAGAGCAGGTGTAGTGCAGAAGGTGCTTGGAGAGCAACTGGCTCAAGAAGACATGTGCCACATGCTGCCTGGGAAGGCAAATGGAAAAAGCGCTCCATACACTTCCTACCCGGACCAGAGGGTAAATTGCTTCTTGACTCCAAATCTGGCAGCCAGACACTGAGAATTAGCAACCCATTTCACTAAGTCTTTGCAGTTGTTTTTTTGTGTGTTTCCAAGCAAAGGCCATCTTCTTCAAGGCTCCCTCTCAAAAGAAGACGGGCATCTCCTGTCATTCACTTTCTATTACTAGGCAGGAGTGGACCTGCAGCTCTGACCTCTCCTGGGCCCTCCATAGAACATTTGCTGGCCAATTTTGGATCAGAGTTATGCTTTTCGCAATGTCAGACGCTAGGAATTCTACAAGTGTGAGTGTGCTGGTTGGGGCGGGGGTAGATAGATTTTACCAGGTAGTCTTCTTTCTTGTTCTTGGAAGCCTCTATGGTAGTTTCAGTTAGCTCTCCAAGGATGCACAGTTGCTTAGTTCCTGCAGCAATTGTGCATTGTCCACAAACTACTTCATAGCTATCTAATGTATACCCTATAAAATGTTCAGGCAAGAGTATTTCCTCAAATATACACAGCTAGGAGGTCCCCTTTCTGCTGAGACATCTGACTTGCTAGCAAGGTGTGGGTAGCAGGTACCATAAGAATATATGTCTCTTTGTCAATAGCTAAGAATGTCAATAAGCAGATGCCTAATGGGGTCGGATAATTTTTTATTGCTAACATATAAAAGGGGTGAAAGAAAGACCAATGGAAAAGGCCAGTGTAAGAAGTGTTTTATTCTGAAACCAATTTCCTTCTTTTCCCCCAGGATGTCACAGATTCACAATCATCCCTGCAACTGCTGGACAGGAATTTGAAGAGATGATTGGCGTGGGAAGGAATTTTGTTAGCTAACTGAAGCGGGTATAACCTGCTCACACTAGTCACTCTCACCACAGACAGTCATGAACGTTGGCGATACTTCCAAAGCAAATTTCAACTTTGCAAAGAAGTCTGAATTTGTCGATCATTTTTTATTTCCACGTTTCAAAATGGGCAAATGATCTCATTGGGAATGCAGAGAAAAATATCACCAAGCAAGCACACAAATGCCCTAACCAGAGAATGACACGAGTCATGTCAGAAAACTGCTATTTCAAAATGATAGCAAAGGGTTTGTGTGTCAGTCAAGAAAACAGGATACAGACAAAGCGTTGCAACCACCTCCTGATTAGCATGAACTGAATTCAGCTCTCTCAAGTCTCAGGTGCAGACCATGTCAAGCTCTGGCATCTGAAGTCCCTTAGTTAGAAAGACTAGGAATTGACAAAGGGCTCTCAAATGAGCTGAACTATGCTCCCCTGCTGGGCTATGGATGTTGATCTCATCCCCCCATCCCTTTTTTCCATCCATTCTATCACATCCGTTTAAGCATTTTGGTTTTTAATTATATTCTGCTTCTTGTCTTTTGGTCTCCAAATAGAGAACTCTGCTTCCACATAACAATTCAACAGCAACAGCAACAGCATCCTATCCCAGAAGTATCTGAATCCCAAGCCTGCCTGCAACAAGGAATCCCTGGATAAACAGATTGCTGTTATGCTCCAGCCTAAGGGCAGCTGATTCCCAGCACTGAGTAAGCAATCCCAGTACAAACAGTTGCTGTGCCTCACCTCAGAGGCTGCTGCATCTCAGCAAAGCCTCTTCCCAACAGACTCCATGTAGCATCCTCTCCATTCTCACAAACCTGCACCCAAGCTGCCTCCCTCCTTATTAATCTCCTTCCTCTTTATTCACAGAGACCCCCTCATGCACACAACCAACAAATACGTGCTGTCACTCACAACCTCCGCTTGGCGTCTACAAGCTAGCATCTTCTCTGGCATCAGTGCTTAAACATTTTACTCCCAACAACGCATGACACAGGGAACATTTAGAAATCATATCCTCTGTATTGCAGATCTATACTACATTGTATTATGCTCTATGCAAACATCATGTAAATGTGAAGATCTCTGTGTTCAATGTGTGCAATTTACCTTTTTTCTCTATTGTGCCTACACGCTAGAATGCTTTACTGAATAGCGTCCCACTGGTCCCTTCTTTCCATGCTCCAGAATCCTAGGCTTGTTTCAGGGCTTACATTGTCTTAGCATCCAACTACTGTGCTTGGATCCGTACCACTTGGTCTCAGGCCACAGCTTTGCTGGTCCTGGGTTCTCTTTTTGTCATTCTATCCTTGTGTCTCATCCCCACCCCATTTCAGCCCATTTCTCTGATTTTAGGTCTGGGCTCCCCTCTAATCCTGCATTGAGGATTTGTCTATTAAAGAGTTACTCCCCAAGCCTGTCGTAAGCAACTATATCTCTGCTCCTCTGAAATGTTATTTCCAGCCTGTGGAATCTGTAGGTAGCTGTCCAAACACAGTTCCTTCAGATCCTTAACACAGCTACCACTTGGCCTGCACTTTCTGCAAAATGTCTCAGGGGATGCAAAGGAAAACTCTGAGTATCAGGACCAGAAATTACAGCAGCCTACAATACCTCAAGGAATATGTGTCAGAAGAGACTAGAATCTGCCTATGTTCCTTTTAAATCCTGCCTCACAAACCTAAGGCATTATCTAGAAAGGTGACCACTGTGTTGGAGGAACGAAATTTACAACAGGAGGTCCTTGCTTCTGTGAAAGGAATTTGTGCAACCCATACAGTACAAGAAGAGTGTTAAGTACATGAAGGCCAGAGGGCAGCCCAGTCTCTTCTGCTTTAGTTTCCCATCAAGATCTATGTGAACTGGGGGTGCAAAGTTGGTGCCCCCTACCTGCATCCACATCGTTGGGCCACCCACTGGACTGGCTGCTGCCAGCTGCTGGGGACCGCCCTGTCCCAGGGTAGAACACGTCGTCTACAGGGCTCTCCATCTCGCTGTCATCTATCGACTTGGGCCGCTTGGTGGAACTGCAATGGGAAGAGACCACAGAAGGGCAGACCATAAGCAACCATTGAGTGATGAAATAGGGTACCAGCTGAGGAAGGCCTTCCTCCTCCAGAGCCTGGGCTTTCTTGTTCGGAGGGTTAGTTGACATCAAGACTAGGAAGGGCAAGCAGCTGTTTTCTTTTATTCCACAGTGGCCTGTGGTTTGGGAAAGTATTGGTTTACAACAGTAGAGAGTCCTCCTACTGCCTGCCCAGGCATCCTTCACAATGGGACTGACTGAGAGAGGACACTAGTAAAAGAGGCATCATTTGCTTCCAAGCTGAGGCCCTCCAGCAGGACTTCTGCATTATGCAACAGTTGTGGGGAGACATACCTGCTAGAAGGTGGAGATGTTATTGACCGTCTACCAAGAGCCACTTGATTGATGTTGTAGTAACTGGGACTCTCGAGGTCAGCCAGTGAGAAATTTGGACCAGACGCTGTGGCAACAGGAGCTGAAGAATGAGAGAAAAACTCAGAGACTGGAGGATCGGCATCAAGAGAGAAACAAAATGTCAGACTGACTTCCTAAATCAGTAGCTGCCATCTTCCTGAATGAAGGTATTAAAGGTGGATTGGTTTGGTCTAATATTGGCAAGGCCAGTTCGGGACAATCCTGGCTACTAGTACATTCCCACCATGTGCTCTGCAGAATGAAGGCAGATGTCAGTCACCAGGCTTGAAGAGCTCCATCTCTCAGTGCTGTTATCTTAGTCATTAGTTTTTGACAACTAGAAACATTTGCTGACTCCAGCATCAGGAATTGCAAAAACAGTCTATTTCCTCTAAGAGAACTGTTACATGGAAACCAGGCCAGGGCGCTCTGCTGAGGTGTTGCTCAGGCAGTTTGCTAACTTCAAGATGCCAACATCTGTACTCTAGAACTGATTCCACCCTTGAAAGGCAAACCAACTATTGCAATGTGCACCCAGTAAAAGTCCTGACACTGTCATGGCATTACAGCTTTCAGCAAGGGGCCACAGTGCAAGGAAGCCAGACAGCACGGATTTCATTGGTTGCTTTCCCCATGCTTTAGGAAACAGGAGATTCAGCAGTCAAACCAGCAAATGGCTTGCTACTCGGGGTTGTTTTTTTTTGTTTTGTTTTTTTCAGCCAGAACTTGCTGGAACTCAGTTCCGGTCATTCTAAGAGAACAAGGGAGGCGTTCATAGTGAGTTCTGGTGCCTCCTTTTCTAGAAAAATGTCACTGCTGATAGATATGCACATTACAGCCCTGACTGTAGTAGCATGTCCAGTAGCTGAAGCTACTGAGTGCAGGAAACTGCCAAAGAGAAAGGCAGCAGATTGAAATATAATGGTACACAAGGAAAGAGAAAAGATAAAAGTGTAAGCAGGTTCAGGTTACTAAATTTGTTGCCCAGAGAGAGCAGTACTGGGTTGGCACTATATGGTGCTAAATAAGTCAACACTTGGTTAGGTAACTTGGAAACGGAGTGTCTGTTTCCCTTCTAGCTAAGGGGAGAACTTGAAAGCCTGCTTTCTAAAACTTTCCAATTTCATCCATAAAACGATGAAAAAACCAAAAACTTCTAATGCAACCAATGAAAATAGCCTAAAATAATAATAACCAGGAGAGTCACAAAATGCTCATATTATTTCTGGCAATATTTGGGATCAACTACCTCAACTGGACTTAAAGCTGCGAAGGAGGTCCTATGATGATCCTACATACACTTCAGCCTCCCTAGAAAGGGTAGCAATAATAGGAATGAGAAGAACCTCAAAGAATCCCTTGCTAGGATTGGGCACTGCCGTTGCTGGTTCTTGTCATTTTGTGCCTCCTGTACTGATCCTGCTAGCTGATTTGCAGACACATTCTAGTGCCTGAGATAGAAAGTTGAAATGGCAACCTTAATGATGGTAAAAAAAATAAAATCATTACTCTGCTAAAGGGTAGGGCTGGCTCTGTCCATTTGGACTAGCTGCTATCTTTGTGACGATTGGCACTCTGTTCCCTGAGACTAATAAACCTTTCAGCTGGGAAGTACTCTTAGAATCCATGTTGGACCCACAGAACAAGAAATCCAAAGCAAGTGAGACAAAAGCTTTCTGCGACAATGTCAACCTTTCCAGGTGTTGAAACCTGCGAAGGGAAAGAGCCCCTATTTTCAACATGTAATTGGGATGCTTCCCTTCCCTGCTCCTTTAATGTGCATCTAATGTAAATGCACTAAGTAGGAGAAGGGATGAGGTTGTGATGCTGCTGAGGGCAAGACCATGATTAGGAGAAAGAGTCTTGCATTCATAACTCCTTAAAAGCATGAATATGGAGGGTGTCCATCTTTAGCAATTTCTCAAATCTGACTCCACAAACTTTCACTTCATCAAATCCAGCTTCCATGGGCTTAGCTTAGCAACAAGACCACAGAGCCAATTGGAAAGGCAGCCCAGTCATAGTCAGAGATGTCACAGTACACTGTGCAACAAGTCCAAAAGCTAAGAAAGTGAGGAAAGGATGAGGCTACTGCTGCAGAGGTCACATGCACAGGTCTCTCTGAATCCTAATCCCCTTAGGAACAGCACAGCAACCCAGAAGTTTCAGTTGCTCTGACTTACTCTGTGACACTCTCACCAGCTCCGTAACATTCCAGACACCCGATGTCACAAAACAGTCCTGGAAAGTCAAATGCCCTGCAAAGAGAAGAAGAGAGGCACACTGGGTCATGAGGACAAAATGGAATGAGAACAGGGGTCGGCAACAAGAGGCTGGAGGTGGCTTGCTATAGCATAGTTGGACAGAAAGTGAGTCTAGTTTGCAATCTCCCTTCTAGGTCAGCTCTGAATTCCATTTCCCCAGTGCTTCTCATCTGAGTCCAAGGCTCCCGCTCTCAGATCTGGCCATATCCGTTAATCAAATCTCAGGACCCCTTTTAGGTCTCAATCTGCTACATTTATTTCTCAAATATGAAGGGAATGATTCCAAACCAGATGGTGAAGACCTCTGATTCGCAGCAGCACCTGCCACCCACCCCAACCTGGCCTCAGAAATGGAGATCTGAGGGGAGGGGAGAAATAAAAGGCTTCTGTGTGAGGAGACAAATAGTCAGGAGAAGTGACCAGGGAATCTGATTCCTGGGCAGGAGTTCACTCACCATTGGGCAGTGGTTTGATGTCCGCATCTCCTTGCTGGTTTGAATTGTCTGATTGTCCGGATTCTGAAACACAGAAGCAAAAACTGACATCAGGAGATGGTTGGAACAGAGAACAGAAGATGACGGGCAATAGCTGAGGCCCGCTGTGTGGGCATCTTGCACCACTTCACTCCTTTTTGTGGCCAATAGAAAGGCTGCTCCAAAAAGATAAGCAACAAATAATGATTCACCAGAAATGGCCAGGAGACCTGGCTGTTTTTAAAGAACTGATTGCCGTAATCAGAGAGGCCCTTTGATATGATGCTACAGGACAGGAAGACGAAGTAGAGGGTTCTTGTTTCCATGCTCCAACCCTACAAGATTACCAAGAAGGAAGCCCGTGCTCCTTCCTTCACCAGATTACCCGGGATTATTTTCACCCACTGCTGAAGAGTATGGCACTGCTCACTCAAAGGAGCCATCTGGATTTGTTCGTTACTAGGTTTCAGAAATGCTGAATGTATTTTTGTGACTGAGGCAGAAAATTTCAAATGGCACCCCTGCACCCCTGTCATGGTTCTAAAAATATAACAAACTAAATAACTGGCATTTTGCTTGCCTTTTAATAGCACTGCCAAACCTGCTTCCTGAGGCAGGCCACCTCACCTGCCTAATACTGGGCTCTATTCTGCCAAGCATTTTTTCTTGTTCTGCAGGCATCTCTGGCCTGACACAACCTATGAGATCCTTCCTTCTTCCTTGTCTACGGGCACACTACAAAATCTGAAGGATGAAGGTTAATTTGGTAACACAGTTGGTGGTGGTGCCTAGGCAGGGACAGCCTAGTAGTAGTAGTAGTAGTAGTAACCCTGCCTATCTGTCTGGGTTTCCCCAGCCACTCTGGATGGCTTATAGCATATGTTAAAACATAAAACACCAGCTTTTAGATGTCTTCTTAAAGTTGTGTGATTCTTTATCTCCTTGACATCTGAAGGATGTCAGGGCAGGCGCCACTACTGAGAAGGCCCTCTGCCTGCTTCCCTGTAACCTCAGTTCTTGCAGTGAGGGAACTGCCAGAAGAACCTCTGAGGAGGACCTCAGTGTCTGGGCTGAGCGATGGAGATGGAGTTGGAGTCGCTCCTTCAGGTATACTGGGCCAAGGCCATTTAGGGCTTTAAGGGTCAGCACCAACACTTTGAATTGTGCTTGGAAACGTACATGGCATTTCCTGCCATGTGTTTAATTCCACACACACCTCAACACCAGTTCTATTCTCCTAATTAAATTCTCCCTCTCCTTTCCTGAAGCTGCTATTTGCCCCTTGGAGAAAAACATGCAAATACCATACCAGTGCTGCAGTCCCAATCCAATTTGCTCCCCCTATGGCTGCAATTAAGGGACGAGGGTGGTGCTGTGGTCTAAACCACAGAGCCTAGGGCTTGCCGATCAGAAGGTCGGCGGTTCGAATCCCCGCGACGCGGTGAACTCCCATTGTTCAGTCCCTCCTGCCAACCTAGCAGTTCGAAAGCACGTCAAATGCAAGTAGGTAAATAGGTACCACTCTGGCAGGAAGGTAAACGGCGTTTCCGTGTGCTGCTCTAGTTTGCCAGAAGCGGCTTAGTCATGCTGGCCACATGATCCGGAAGCTGTCTGTGGACAAACGCTGGCTCCCTCGGCCAGTAAAGCGAGATGAGCGCCGCAACCCCAGTTGTCCGCGACTGGACCTAATGGTCAGGGGTCCCTTTACCTTTTACCTATGGCTGCTATTAATTTTTTAAAATATACACACACATATGATTCTGGATGGCTCTGTGCTTATTCCCCACATAGGTATCATCCCTAAGTAGCAGGACCAGTGGTCAGGGATGATAGGAATTGTAGTCCAAGAACAGCTGGAGACCGAAGTTTGGGAAACCCAGGTTTAAACTGTCAATAGATCAACAGACCTAGAAGCACTTAAGTGATGGAATATGATGCACGAAGGTCAAAACCACATGCAATAGTGGCAGACTAAATGTGGGTCTGCCCCATTCATACAGAAGAGAGAGAGGGAGCATCCAAATTAAAAAGCAAACAGATTGCTAATTCTCCACTGTTCCTTGTTACCTCCCTGCAGTTTGTCACCTGATGTGATTCCCTCCAACTGGGCTCTTCTATCAAAACTGACTTAGGCATGGAGAAAATCAGTTTGAGGGACAAATCAGGGGGTGATAAGCAGGAGCGGGAATGGTTCAGCACCCCCATTTGCAAATCATTTTTTCACATTTAATTGCAGCCCATCAAGCCTCACTTCCCATGTGACTGGATCTCATTTAAAGACCCACTGTTATAATGTGCAACAAGATCTTAAGAGTTTGCTTGTTTCAGGGCAGGGATTATTTAGGTTCAGGATATAAGAGTTGAGGGCTTAGGGCTTGTCCACACTTCTGCTTGGCCTGTGCTCAGAAAGCTGGGGCTGAGCAGTGTTGCGCGATTGACGTTTGCTCCGACTGAGCTGTAAAGTCTGGGTGAGCCCTAAACTGTCTGTTGGGTTTACTCTGACTCTGTTTAATAAGTGGGACCACCCCATCACATCCATGCAAACATGGAAGCCACCCTTATTATATCAGAAGCTGGCATGTGGGTATATATACACAGAGAGAATGTGATGGGCTTCCTCTGGAGCATGCAGATCTTTAGCTTCTGCTCCCTTTGCAGAGCTTCAAGGGCTTCCATTGTTCTGTCCCCACAAGTCGCTGTGCTATTTACTGGCTTGTCCTTTTAGACACACACACACTTTTCCTCAAGGCCTCACTACCACTTAAGAACGACTTTCCCTGAAGGTTTCATTTACCAGCTAATGCCTCTCAAGCCTCAAAGAACCCCAAGGATGGAAGCAAAAGAGTTTGTCCACCCTGGTCATTAGGTGCCAGAGGTATTGCACGAGCACATTGAAATGCCAAATTCTAGAGAGAGCACTTGACAAGAAAAGAAAAGCCCTTCAAATCAGTGGTTTTTAATCAGCCAGGTGAGCTGGAATCTACAGCAGCTAAAAGACTGCACTATAACTCAGCAAGTGCCTGGTTTGACTCTCTTTCTACCATGAGCTCACTAAGTATTCGTACATTAGTGGCTTAAAATGCAGTGAGGTTGCTCCCCCTACCCCAGCTGCAGTTTAATTCACATTTGAACATTGCTGTACACACCAGGGAGGGGGGTGGCAACATCTTCACCTAATGTGCATTGCCTGATTTTGTTCCCCCTCACCCGCAACCCCCTGAAAATCCTGTTCAAGGAAGCTGCCAGCTGCCCATGCACAATGCCTGCCTGAACTGTACACATCTCACCTTATCTGCAGCTTGCATTTTCAAGTTAGATGAAAGCTGGTTTGAAGGAAAACGTATCAAGCCAGAGTATTTCTCAAGAAACTAATAGATATGGATTGTGGCTAACATCATGTGTACCTGACTTCAAGCGGCAGCAGTACGAGTGCACTGGAGCAAAAGTAATGTGTACATTCCATTGGGTAAGCCACTTTCTCTAATTCAGCACCCCTTTTTGCAATATGAGGATAATAATACTGACCTTCCTTACAGGACTACTGTAAGAATTATAGAACTATAATGCATGTGAAGTGAAAAGGAGTTACATGATTTACTAGGTGCACAGAAATGGAGAAATTTTGAAATCATCTTGCAAAGATATGAACCTAAGAAAGAAGATACAGTACAAATGATGCACAGATACATGAGGGTGGGGGTGGACATTTTAAGTATGGCTAAGTATCAAGATCCCATACTTTAACGAGCTTTAAACAGGTTTCACAGCAACTATCAAAGTATTCCAAAGTTATTTCCACTCCCTCAACCCACCTCTAGTGTTTGAGTGGGGATTCAAATCCGTGTAAACCAGAATGAATCCAAAGTTGAAGTGTATGGGTTTGTTCCTGTCATTTTTTCAATACTACCTAGTTTCCAGATGCCATCTAGCATAGAGTTCCTGGGCCTGTCACGTCTGCTTTGAAAGGAATATTGTCGCAGATGGAAGTCATCCTGTCTTCAACTTGCTATGGTGGCAGAAGCAGACCATGCCTGCATTCTTTTTCTTCTACACTACTCAAAGAAACTCCATGCTAAATGGCATCTAGGAATCCTAGACCTACCGTAGTTGGCTAAAGACTCATTTCTTCCCAGTGTCCAAAATAGAAAATCCATACCCAACCCATTCCTCTGCTGATTGAAAAAATATCCCTCTTGGTTAGGAGAAAACCCCTTTTTTCTTTAACCATGGGGGTCAGAAACATGCCCTAAAGGTAAAGGGACCCCTGACCGTTAAGTCCAGTCATGGACAACTCTGGAGTTGCGGCACTCATCTCACTTTATAGGCCGAGGGAGCTGGTGTTTGTCGGGGTCATGTGACCAGCATGACTAAGCCGCTTCTGGCGAACCAGAGCAGCACACGGAAACACCGTTTACCTTCCCACCAGAGCAGAACCTATTTATCTAATTGCACTTTGACGTGCTTTTGAACTGCTAGGTTGGCAGGAACAGGGACTGAGCAACGGGAGCTCACCCCGTCGCAGGAATTTGAACCGCCGACCTTCTGATTGGCAAGCCCTAGGCTCTGTGGTTTAGACCACAGCGCCACCCTTTTTTCCTCTAAATGGAAGCTCCGATTTGCATCTTGTATCTTGTCAAGCACCCACAGACAGTGGTGTGGGCATGGCCTACCTAGCAGATTTCTAGGCATCTTGAAAGAAAAGTTTATCTTGGTTTATTGAGAATTCAACAAGTAACAGAAAAAGAGAAGTATCTGGGCAGGTAAAATACAAGAGGAAATGTTTATGGGACCTCAAATAGCTTTGCTGTCCTTAATTTTTGAGCCCCTCAACCCTGTGCTGGAAGACCACCTGCGCTCACCATGCAAACGAGGCCTAAGACCTCCAAAGAGTTAACCAGCCCATCCCTTTCCTGTCCAGACTTGGCGCAGCAAGGCTAGCTGCAGAACTCAGGTTACCTATGTCAACAACACTGCAAGTTTACCTCTATCGGAGCCAAAGCAAAGCAAAAAGAAGCCAGGAAATGTGCCTCATACTCTGCAACAGC